CCGCGTGTATTGTTGTTGAGGTTTAGCTGCTTCTTTGTTCTGGAGATCACTCAGGTTGGACTCTCTCTCTTTCTCTGATCTTTTATTGTTTTACCTAAGTTTGATGGTTTTTGGGTTGTGGGTGTGACTGTGTGTTTGAACATGTATATTTTATTCGGTTGTTGATTTTGAACCTCTTCTTCATTCTATTCTTGAATTGGTTTGTCTTTTAAGCTTGATGCATTGATTTGGAGGTTTTCATTCTTGCAATTCTATTACAACTTCGAAACAATATGTCTATTAAATTGTTGTTCTCTTTGTGTCTTGTTTACCACAATAAAGAAGACAATAAACAGTAAATTGATGCAACCACATCCCTCAGCCCAACCCTCGGCAACCCGCCACTTTAAAAATCGAAAATTAGGTTTGAGTTTTGATAAAATGTAATTGCCCTCTTTACAATTTATCGATTAAAAAGGTTTCAAAAAAGGGGTAAAAATAAAAACATGACCCATATAAGTTCACAGTGATCGTTCAACTTACAGTAAACCATTATTGCGGGCGGGAAGGGAAACTTCTAGAGTTGCTGAATTCATGTGAAGGTCATAGACATACAAGAAGACAAATGATTTTTTCTATTTCAAGGAATAAGACAATCTTAGAGTCTCACAATGTATAAAGAAGACAGTAAGCAATAAGCAGAGTGACTTTAATAGACATATTGTTCTACTCCTATAAAGCATTAGATGAGTTAATGAACATATATTGAAGTGAAGCTTCAAGAAACCAAATTAAAATGTTAAAAAATGCACAATTATCTTAGTACAATTATTATAATAGATTGAACTCATTGAACTCAAGCTTACTTTGTATAGATGTATATGCCTATGTAGGCAGATTAAAACTAAATTAATCGAATAGCCAAATGGGTTACGTGAATAATATTGGGGTTGAATTGGAGTTAGAGTTGAGATAGAAAAAGATCAACATGGGACATGGTAAATTTTGAATTACCCACTGGATGATTTTACCCATGGGTTAATTTGCGTTTGATGATGTACTTGAGATGCACTTCAAAAAAATATTTTTTTCATTGGGCGAATGGAATTGAAGAATAAATAAATTTTTTCCGAGTATGTCGTAGAGTCGTAAATTATGGCATAAATGGTTAGGTAAATACTCTGTTTATCTCACATTTTTCCTTATTTTAAATTTTTTCATTTAATAAAAAGTACATCTACCAACAAAAAATCAAATTTTATTTTTAATTTTTGAACAGAATTTTTAACAATAAAAGCAAAAAATTTAAAAGCTAAATTACAATAAAATATGTTTCCCAGAAAAATGTTCAAGTCACTCTCGTGCTAATTATGCTTAAAAGATAATAAAGCAATATAATTCATGCATTTTAATTGTAAATGGGGAATAGAACTTGGTTGCTTCTGATATAGAATGTTTAGTCAATTAATCATTTTTTTAAAGTGTTTTGGGTCGGGTTAGTAATAGGTCATGTCATGTGAAAATTAGATTATGAACCACTGCACATTTAACATTAGTTGAATATCTTTTGCTTTAGTTGATTTTTTCCAATTTTTTTAATTTATGTGACTTGCCGCTTTCTTTTCCTCTCCTCAAAACTAATATTTGTTTAGTTGGTTTGTTTATAAATATGTGCTGCTAATATTATAATGTAATATATTCTACAATTAGGTGTCTTTAAAGTGAATATGAATTTTTGTTAATATAATGTATGGTATGTCAATTCGAAATGAGTTATTAGCAAATCATTTTATACTCTATGCAGTAGCTCATTATTCTGGGCAGTTTGATAGAAAAAAGTATAGTTTTCCATATTGGCTCTAGATTGGGATTTGTAGTTTTATTTGTTGTGTTTTTTTTTTTAACAAATGTGTGTTTTGGACCATCATGCTATTGCAAAATTGTAGGCATCTGGTTAGAATGATGTCGTACATCTTGTATTTTTTTGTTATATCATTGCACCTCTACTTTGGAAGGTGAAAGAAATGTACAATGTCATTTTTATTATTTTGCTTCACATGTTTTTTTTAATCCTCACTAATTAAAAATTTGTAATCCGAAATATTTAGCTTTTACCTTTTCTCTTGCATTATTTATTGGTAATTTGTTGTTTGTGATCATATAGAAGTTTGAATTTGAGAAGGGATAGGCATTTGAAAGTTTGCAGCTAAACAATGACATATTGATGTTTCTTTTCAAATAATTTGTTTCCAAGCAGCATAAGTCATACCAAAGTTCACATTAACACCAAACTGGTTGTGATTTTGTGTTGGTTGTGTTTTCGTGTTGGTTTTTCTCGATTGTTGCACTAACTTGGTGATGATTTTAGTTTTTTGATCACATTTCACTTCCTATTCGAATGAACTATATTTTTATAATAATTTTATATTGGACATACTATGAATAAATAAAAGACAAAAAATCATGGAAAGGGTAATCTTTATTAGTTCAGCAGACAGAGAGCAAACCAACGATACCACTTTAAGAGGTACTAATTTATGAATCTACTGGTTTTTCTTTCCAATTATGTTACTTACATTAATTTTTCTTACATTATAATTGTATGTTTTTTTTTGGGATGAATTATAGAATACCATAAATATTGCAACTAAACTTGTGGGGTGTACCTCTAATAATTTATTTTGCCTTTGTTTACCTATCCTATTGCATGATGTTGGTAAAAATACCTATTTTCATGCTTATGTTGTGTCAAGTTTACTTCCATTTATGCTGAAAAATGGGCTATCTGAATTTGGGTTTGTTTTGATGCTATCAAGTAAACATTATGTGTATATTTATGGCACTTATGTTTTATTTCTTGATTAATTAGAAGCGCGGCATCTTAGGTGTGACCGTGTGAGAACCAGAGACTGTTTTGTTTTGAAAAACTATTTATTCCAAATTGTGTGGTATTTTGAAAATAGGAACTGCTTTTTTTTTGAAAAAACTTAAGGGTCAATTATGGAATAATTTTGCTACATAAAAAAGGATGGAAAACCTACTTAGTGGGTAGACATCATTGGTGTGAAAAATGAAAATGTTTTGAATCACAACAATTTGAGTACATTGGTTCTCTTGGATGTTGACTCAAACTCAACCATAGTTTTTGCATCCTCCATGTGTACATATAGGTACATAAATTTTTATTCGAGTACATACGAATTTTTATTTTGTTGCAACTGAAGGGGATGAAAAGGTTGCTAGATTACATTTCAAGTGGATGATCCAATTAACATGATTCTATATGTTCATTTTAATGTTGACTTGCTATATATCTTCGCACGTAAAAATTGTTTGAGAATATAATGACATGATTTTATTGTTAGGTTTGCTGGATTTCGAAATCTTTCGGTAATTCGTCAACTCCTTGTCTTAATCGTACTCGACCTTCGTGCAAAAACTTTCAGGTCAGTGACTAATTCCTTCGTTATATTCAATTTACAAGATTCATTAATTAAGCTCATAAGGTACTACAATTTTGTAGTTATGTTGTTTTTGTATTGTTTGTAACATGTTGTCATTAGTTATCTCCGAATGCAATTTTTTTTAGTGTAGTCACTCTGCGTAAATCAAGTCAAGGAACATGTTTGCATCTGGTCTATGGTTTCTATATTTAAAACCATTTTTTTTCTCATACTAACATAGTAGTTTAATGTGAATATAGAAAAGAAATTAGATGAGTGAATTGAATAACCTAAAGGTTTAATCCTGGCCCACTAATCTTTATGAGTACAATAATGTAAAGATGAGCCAAAATCATAAAGTATAATTGGTAAAGAAATTAAAAGGTTCCATAAATTTTTTATGTTTCCTTGGCCGGTAATTTTGTCCTTTTATTCTCGAGTATCCATGTTTCATAGATTAGCGGTCTAATGGATGATCAAGGATAAAAAAAGTTGCTGCCAAAGATGAAGAACATGAAAAAAAAGAGTGTTACTGGGAAGAAAACAGAGGCAGTGCAGAGCGTGTGGCTGAAGGGGATGCAACCCCATTTATTGGCTTTGAAGTTTGATTTTGCTATTTTCAAAATAGAGACTGTTTTTCTTGAAAGAATCTGTTTTTTTTTTTTAAAGGAAAAACTTTAAGGTTCAATATATGGATTAGTTTTGCTACATAAAAGCCAATGAAAAACTTACTTAGAGGGTAGACATATTGGGTATCGTATGAAAAATGAAAATATTTTGTATGGATAAACCGTTTGTTCCAATTTATGTGCTATTTTTGAAAAAAAAATATAATAGCATAAATATTTCAACTAAAATTGTGGGGTGTAAAGGAAATGAAGGCAATCAATGTAAGCTCATTTATGTCAGTAACATGTAGTGTACGCTAGATCTCTGAAACTGGTTTGTTTTGAATAATTCTTATTTCCAGCTGCATACTATACTTCCTCGCTCTGTCAGTCTCTCTGTCCCATAAGCTATTCATCGGACAGAGAGCAAACCAACAATATCACTTAAAGAGGTATTAATTTATGAATCCATTGGTTTTCCTTTCCAATTATGTTACTTACATAATTTCTTCTCACATTACAATTGTATGTTTGTGGGGTGTATCTCTATTTGCCTTTGCTTACCTATCCTATTGTATGTTGTGTCATGTTTATAGTTTTTCCAATTTTTTAATCTTCTGTGAGTTATTGTGTGATGTAATTGGGGAGGAAACTTCAATAAAGATGATTTGGTTGTTGTTTCCAAATTTATTTTCTTTTGAGTGACTTGACCTTGCGCATTTGGTACAAAAGAGATGATGTAGAGCATATTTGAGCAGATATTGAAATGGAAGTAAGGGTAAATCTCAGCGTGACATAGTTTTAGTCTATCAAGAGCAGGGCCAAGCAATGAACTGTGCTGAAATTGTTTGAACCAACAAAAATGGCAAGTTAACAGAAGAAGAGAGGAGCAATAGAGCACATAAAAGATGGGAGGACATGAACTATATGTAGAGGAGGAATGGGTGGTGCCGTTACAATTTTCCATAACTTAAACCAACATTTTGTTGGCATTTAAGAGAAAAGGCTTAAGATTCTCGCCCTTGGTTCTCCATAGCCTATATGAAGCTGCCTGGGTCATACTGGTTGATTTTCCTTGCCAGATGTAGCACTGAAACATCCAGACACCCGCCTCTTCCCCTGCCAGCTGCCTCTCCACCACAAGTTTGGAGTTCAGATCCCTGCAATGAGTAAGTTCTTCACATTTACGTGCCAATTACTAAACCCAGCCAAGTAACTAAAAATAATAATGGATTTACCTGAGTTCTTGAACCAGCAGGTATTTAACTATTCCTAATAGCAGTAGTGCTGGTTGAGACAGAGAAGCAAAAGTAGTACCTACCTTTGCATTGCATATGGTACATTAGTTATAGCAAAAATGTAAAGATTGGAAAAAATTAGGTATAGGAAAAATCTGTTACCTTCACTAGCTTGGACTGTGGGTGTAGTCTATTCTTGCACGACCTTTTGTTATGACCAATAAGGAAGCATAATAGTTTAGCAATAATAGTTGGCCTTAATGCTACTCGTTTATTGCAGACGAATGAAATATGCTTATGTTATAGTGTCACTACATTGTGCAGTTACGAACTAAGCTTTTCATTGGGCTTACCTCTCCATGCTGGGAGCCATTTTTTTTTTTTTTTGGAACCTGTTGGGTTCCATATCCTCATGCTGAGATGTAAGCAATGGAACTTTGTAATACTTCAAACTATATTTGTAATTTTAGAACCTAAGACACTTTTTTGAAGATGACAGATGACGATTTGTATTCAAATTACAATTTGAGCATATTGGAGATGTTGGAACTATGCAGATGTCTTTGATGCATTTGGGTTGTACTCGAAACAATCTATAGGAAGAGATCCATTTCTTATGGTCACGTAGTGTGATTGTTAGTTTTCAGGATAGGTTTTTATAATGTTGTTGTGTAGTCGCAAGGATGCTGTTTTCTGTCTTCAGGGGGTGGATGATGTCACTCTCCTAAGCCGAAGGGCATTTAGTTGTTACAGTGAATCGTTGTCGCTTCAGAAAAAGTTTTAACTAATTCGAAAAATATAACTCATTTTCCCAACAACAGTAGGCCTAATGAAGAAATGCCCAACGTCATACTTGGTTTTTAGCTGTTGTCTAACATTATGCCTAACATTATATTTAGCAAAGATTTGGAGTTCGGAAAAATTGCCTCAGGGCCTTTGTATACAATATTTTATCTTTAAAATTGTTCACGTTCAACATCCGTGGGCATCAACTAGTAGATATAAATGTAAAACGAGTACTTAATTGGCCTATCCCACAAAACTATATTACTGATCTTGGGTTGATCTACCTCTCAGGGGCATGTTTGTTTTGAGTATTGTTAAGCATTATATAAAGAAATGTATTTTTAACATTTTCTGTATCAATGAAAATTAGTATTGGTAATAAAAAGTATTTCAATTCCCTTCGATGTTTGTTTGTTCAATAGGTACTATGATGGATCTCACAAATAACAATTTATTCTATCAAATCTTGTAAAACAAATATACAATTTTATCCTTAACATTATTCATTTCGTTATTCCGTTTGTGTAACGCTTTTGCACTATATTTGGTATAATACATGGATTGGCAATCCACACCCAAAAAATTCCGAATAATGTAAAAAACTCACATAAAAAATCTTATGCTATGAATCGGTGACACTGTAAAAGAAATTTTAAAAAAAAATTGTTGATACTGTACGTTTAAACATAATACAAGGAAAAAATTTAAAATAATTTGTTTAAAAAAAATTAAAATAAAATCGATGACATGATATGCTTAAATATACTACATCGAAAAAATTTTTTTTAAAAAAAAAAGAAAACTGAGAACACCGTACACTTAAACATAATATAAGGAAAAAATTTAAAATAATTTTTTTTAAAAAAATTGATGATACTGTACGCTTATAAATAATACAAGGAAAAAAATTCAAAATAATTTTTTTTTAAAAAATTAAAAAAAAAAAAAACTTGCGACGCCATTCACTTAAACATAATATCAGGAAAAAATTCAAAATAATTTTTTTAGATGTGAACTCTACGCAGGAGGGTATTTGTGTCATTTTTCTTGCTTGTACCGTTGGTGGATTTATAGTTTATACCAACAAATAAAATCACTTGGTAGGTGGTATTTATTAAAGTCATGTACAAAGGTTTTTTATTGTACAAATCGGATCAATATTAGAATCCAAAAAATAATACTGCACATAAAATATCAACCAAACAAGTTAATAGATGAATTTCAGGTACTATTTCTTTTTATGTCATCCTATAATACCAGTCAATCTCCCAAACAATCATGCCCCAAGTGTAGAATGCCTATGTTGTATTCACTACTAAGCTGTGCAAATATGTGTTCATCTACAAATCCAATTAAAAGTGGCAAACAAAATGTTATTTTCACCTTTGTTTCACTTGTGTGTTTTTTTGGGTTTTGTGACTAATTTATTTCACGTATCCACAATCACCTCTAAATTCTATGTGCCGAATAAATTAATAGGAGAGCTAAAGTACTTAAAAACTCAAGACTATCTAATTAATGAGTTACAAAATATAATAAGTCAATTAGAACAATTATGAATCAATTATAATGAGAGTGATCAAGGAAAAATATGTGTAATTAAATAAAGATCGTGGGTCCTAATTAATGATTTTTGATTTGTTGGCGTGTGGACTATTTTTATTTTTTATTTTTATTCGATGATATAACAAATCATGCATCCCGCATTGGAAGTGGCTCTAGGGGTGTTTATGAGCTGAGTCAGGGTGGCCCGTGAAATTTTTTTTGGACTGAGCAGTATAAGCTGAAACCCTTACTTGGACGAGTTATCAAGCGAGCCGGGTCAGGCTTCGAGTAGGGGCAAACTACCCATAGCTCAACCCGTCATTCACTAGGCGGACCTTTTTTTTTTTATATATATACAATTTCATTTAAAATATTTTCAATTTAATATTTTTAAAATTATATTTTTGAATTAAAAATAGAGTCACAATGAATAAAAAGTAAATAATGAATAATTTTATTTAAATAAAGTATAGTCATATATTACCACCAAGCATTTAAAGTTTTAATAATCAATTTTTTTTCAAACAATTGGGTGGAAGGACAAACGGACTAGACGGGCGAGTTAGGCTGGGCGGGGTGGGCTAGGTTGGTAGACAAGCTCATGTGCTAAGTTTTTCGGGCGGGCTCAAGGTTTGAGAACAAATTCAAGCCCTCTCTTAAAAGATATTAGACTAAAAATCGGACGGGTTAACTATTAAATCTATCGGACTTCAGGCCGGGTAATAATAACCGTGAGCAATCCCCTAAGTGGCCCCATAAAAATCTGTGAGGGTCCTCTTCACTAGCAGAAGGCGTTAGGCATTTGTTAGGACGGTGAAGCTTATCAACATCATCGTCGTCCTCGTCAACTGTATTTTTTGGCTATAAAAATAACTCCTATGTTCATACGAAACCTATGTAACACCATTGATTTTTCAAGTCAACAAAGCTGAAATGGTCATTAGCCAGTGGGTCAAGAGATTTGGTACTTGGAAAATGACTGGGGTTACCTTCGAAAAAGTCAGACACGAGGAATTAGAGACTTGGCCATCACACTGGTCTACGATTCTATATAGGAACAAACCATTTGTAACGCCCCTTGTTTTTCACGCTCTACAGACGTAGTGCTTTGTCCTTTGTCTATAGTCATTAGCAGAGTCGTAATCAATCAAGACGCATCATCAACCCCAACCATCAAATGGTTGCACCATATATGCGTGTGTATTGATGGTATCTTGAAATGCATTACACCGATGAGAGGGTGTATTAAGAGGAGTATTGAAACTTTTGGAGTAATTGGTATTGTGAGAAGATGCAATTATCATGTTAAAAATGGTCAATTTTCCATGGGAATGGTCATTGCTCGATATCTACCTACGACACTCAAGCATGAATAGACACGGCGGTGGTCAAACGAGAAGAAATGTAATGGGCTTTGACGGCCATTCAACGGTCTGAGAAGAGCAGAGATGCACAAATTCAAGAAGAATACTATAAACTTATAAATTACTTGCTGTAAGAGGTTGGAAGACTGTTGATTTTTTTAATTCTCTGTTTGTTACCACCCCAATTTGGATAAAAAAACAACGAAAGAATGGGTAAAGTCAAATAGTCGTCTTCACAATCTACATATTATGACTAGGAATCCGGTACAAAAAATTCCCGGCATCTCGTAGAAAAAGAGTATAAACCAAGCAAAATGTTTTTCATAATTTCATTTTTTTTTTGATCATACATAATCGTCAAAAAGAATTTGGTTCTTTTTACGAGTTTGATGTCGATAAATCCGCGAATCTAGAAATTCATTTCGGACAATTGAACCTTTAGATAAAAAGTTGGAATGATGAAAAATTTGAAGAATAGATAAAATATTATGTTTGGTAAGGAAGAAAAATATGAAGGATAGAAAAATGAATAGATGAATTTTCCTTATAATTTACTAAAATCCATCCCTTTAAAATTAGAAGAAAAATAGATGAAAAATTAATTATTTATGTTGAAATGTATCTTATTTGTCTATTGATATATACATATATTATATATACATTAATTTCATATATAAATACAATGACAAAAAATGTATTTATACTTTTTTAAAAATAAAATTTTAAAAAAAATAAAAAAATAAAAAAATATTTTATCCACCTACCAAGTACAAAAAAAAATAATTATTATTTTTATTTTTCATCTATTCTACCAAACACAAAGGAAAGAAAATGTAACATTCTTATTTTTTTTTTCTTTGAATGATAAAAAATATATCTCTTTTATTTTTTATCCTTTGTAGTGTCTATCAACCTTATCAAACGGAATATAAATCATTTTGCTCGACTTAATGCTTAGGCTAATGAGTAGCTCGCCTAGAGCTCCCAGTCAACTATACCACTCCATTTACCTAAGCTGCATACAATCTTATGGTTAAATTTCAGAAACACGAAAATAAAGGGTAAATATTACTCACGCCCCTTGATATTTGGTTTTATTACACGAATATTCTCTCACATTTTAAAAATAACATTGAGATCCCAATAGGTAAATGGCGTTAACAATATTGTTAAAAAGACTATTTTACCCTTAATTGATTAAATTTATGCTTAGATCTAAACCCACGACCCATGATCAATTACCTAAAACCCTCTATGCCCAAAGCGCTAACAATTAAGTAATACCCTTTTTTTTCCTCTTTCCTTGCATCACCCCTAGCTTCCACTGTATTCCCTACACCACCACCTCCATTATCACACACAGTGCCCAAGAACACAGACCCTTCTACCCACAAAACAATGGCTCTCACAAGCACCAATACTCTTCTCCCCAACAAATCAATTGTTGAAACCCAATCTCTCCTACCTTCTTCCAAATCCCACCAATTTTTTCTCTCCACCAACTTAACCAAATGCACCAAATCAATCCAACCCAACTTTGCCATCCATTCCTTTGAGTTGTTCAAAACCCCCATTGTCTCTGATAAGCCTCCAAAACCAACCACATCGGCTAAAATAGCCACCTCAACAGCAGCACCAATGACACAAACCTAGATAGGTCTCCAAGAAATGGAGTGTAGATAGCTAGAAAACCAAGAAGGCTCCTCAACTTCCAGAGTACCCAAATCAAGAAGAGCTCGAATCTGTGCTCTAGACTTTAGATTCTATTCCTCTAATTGTGTTCACTAGGGAGGCCAGGCATCTGGAGGAATGCCTTGCGGAGGCTGCAATGGGTGGTTTCAGTGTGTTGTTCTCTCTCTCTCTCTCTCTCTCCCTCTCTCTCTCTCTCTTTGTGATGCCTCTAAAATCAAAGGTCCTTTGTTAACCCGTTGATCACCCATCAACCTGCGAAAGTACTTGTGATTATTGCACCACCCGACATTACATCAATAACATCCCTTTAACTAAGATCATAACCCACACATTTGTGGTCCTTTACACATTAGTTTATCATCATTTATATCTCGTAGAACATCTTTGAGCAAGAGAAAACAATCCCCAAGAGTTTAGTAAAACATTTCAAGAATTTGAAGTTTTAGAAAAACCTACTGGTATAAGTAATCTAAGTCCTACAGGTAGAATTAGTGCATTGGGCTTTTGTTTTTAGAAAATCTATGAAAACCTACCAGTAGAAGAAGTCTTTGTTCCACCGGTAGAAATAGCCTGCTGGAATTCTTCTATTGGTAGGAACAGTGACGTTCTATCGGTAGGAGAACCCTACTGAAAAAGTTCTATCGGCTAAACCTACTAGTAGAAGCTGCCTACTGTGCCACATCTACCGGTAGAAGAATTAAAAGTCCTACTGGTAGATGTGCCCAGTTTTTGTCCATTTCAACTATTTTTGATTTCTCATCCATTCCAATCATGTACAACAACATCCCAAACATATATAACGTGTGGTTTTACATACTCCATGGTTCATATAAGTTCCATTACAATTATTTGCATATAATTACAAGCCTAAACAAATTTACATGTAAGTTTTACAAAATATGGTTCAAAAGTCACAAGTCGGCTTTTCTTCTTTATTGATTGCCCAAATGAGAGCCTTCAACCGGTGTAAATTTTGCACTTGAAATATTTTCCTCATAAAGGGTAAGTCACACTCAATAAGGTATTTCCTAAAGAGGTTACTCTCCAACCTAAGTGCATATGAAATGTTCAAATCTAACATTCAATAAGCAACAACTATTTCAATTAAGAATATGCAATTCAATGTTGAAAATCATCGTACCATGTTATGAACTGAGATGAGACTCACTCATGCATTTCAACTCGAGTCTTTACCGGCTCTTTCAACACATACAAATGCCTTGCGCATGATTTCCAAGCATTTTAAACATCCGCTATTGATGTTACACATCTAATGACTATTTAATTTCTCTGGGTCTTTCTTAGAGTGGGTATTTATAGACTTCCACCAACGGTCACCCAACCAACACGACATCTATAAACTTCCACCAACGGCTCTGCGTACAACGACACACTTTATGGGCTCTTATACCAATAAAGTGCGTATCTGAATCATTGGGTCTCTTACTCGAGGGATTGTCTAGACATTCTTGCTAACCCCGACCCAATTTTCAATATAAATCACGTGACTCAGCTGGATCTTGACTCAATTTTCTCGAGCCCACGCATCATTCACCAAGAGTGGCGTTTGATGACAACCATGCACACACACCCACCCACCCATGCCTAATGCCCACGAATGTAATGTCTCTGTGCATAAGCAATATAATGTACAATTGCGATACGAATTTCATGTTCAATATATTATGAATGTAATATGAATCATTTCAACATATTTTATGGCTAATTATATCATATGCATATAATTACCATAAATCATAATGTCAATACATCACCAAGCATATATCAATATTATACCCAATAACAATTTTTAAGCATGTTATCATATAACCTCATGCAAATAACACACTTAATCTCCAAGGCATAATATAAATACATAATATGCCCACATATCACAATTTTTCAAGAAATTACAAGCGAGCAAGTTTTAAATACCAATTCATAGTAGAATTGATTTCACTTAATTTCAATAAACATTTCATCAAATTAACAACAATAGACAAGTGTTATACACCTCTAACACCTTACCCATTTCATATCATAACTCTAGATTGGAAATAACTTAGTTAGGGAGAAAACCCTACCTCTTGAAGCGTAAACGATGCTAGGAAGCTCTAAGAATTCTAAATCACACCTAAAGTCCTTGATTTCTCCAAGTTCAGTTTTGGAACTTCACCCAAATCCGTGTTTTTTTGGTATGGTTGCGTAATTCTCGACGAGGAGAACAATTTTTGTTCTTGGCTTGAGTCGATTCGAGCAGCATAGCGGTGTAGATCGTAGAGAGAATGTAGAACTTCCCTCTCGTCTTTCTATTTTTTGGATAATCTGATGGATATGGAGATAAATCTGATTTTTCTCTCCTATTTATACCATTTAAATGTTTGGTCCTCATTTCACCACATGTTCTCTTTTTTCGAGTCTAATTTTGACTCGAATCGATTAAAGTTCGCCTTAGTTCAAGTTCAAAATATTTTTATAAGAACTTCCTTTAAATTATTTTTCAACTTTCGAAATTTTATTCCATATCTCTTTTTAGGTCACTTGACACCCGATCATATCGTAAAATGCAAAATATCTAACTATCTCATAATTCAACGAAAATTGACTGAATAATCAGACTTTACGAAACGGTGAAGTCCGTTTCATCATCTGAGTTCTAGAAAAGTTTAGGTTTTCAACCCATATCGTAGTGACAAATTACCGTTTTATCCTTTTTCATAAAAATTCAAACTTTCCCGAATTTTATACTCTCTTTCTCTCTATGCTATCCCTTGTTTTGATTGGGTTTTAGGCAGTGGGATAGGTGGTGATGGGCGGCAAGAGAAAGAATTTATGTAATTAGATAAATAATAAATATAAATAAAATTAATATGGCCTAATTGGATTGATACTTATTAAGATGTTTAAAAAATTGATTAAAAAACCCAAATATTAATTAATAAACAAGAAGCATTCAATATTTAACTTATTAATTTGATAGATTAGGAAATTAAACATTTAAGGGTTAAAATTTTAATCTATATATGGAATAAATGGGGTAAATTTGTAGGGTAAAAAAATATATTTAAATTCTTAAAACTAATTTTGGAGGGTATTTTTGGTATTCTAAGGATTATATTGATGATATCAGATTTAACTGATAACAATTGTAACGTCTGTTATTTATAAGGGTTGTAGTTGTTACAAGTTATAAATGTTAAGGGAGATTGGTGTCATTTTTAAAATGTAAAAGGGTGTCCGTATAATAAAATCAAATATCATGAGGTGTCAATGATATTTATCCTAAAATAAACAAAATTTGGTTGTTATGTCATATGATCCATAAAGAATTTCCCGTTAATTTTTAAAAGCTAACCCTAAAGTTTCCGATATCACTAAATCCTTCTTTTCCCCTGTTGTGGTTCGTACTTACGAAGAAATGAAGAGACGATAATAAATTAAATTTGGGTTGATTAGATCTCTTTGATTTCTCTTTTTTTGGTTTTTTTCCTACTTTTCAATCTCTTTAGTCAAATAAAAGATGCTTTCATGGTATTATAATAAGTTAATACTGTTGTTAGACAGACTCTACCAATTGGACTTTTATGGTGCCGGGCCATCGTCACACCGTGGTTGCGAACCCCCTTCCCCCTACTCCCAAAAAAAAAATAAAAAAATAAAAAAAATGGTGCCAAACTGGCGGCACATGAGATTGTGTGGTTTGTCAATCCGTAATCTTCAACTAAAAGAACGCTATAATTTTGCAAAAAGGCAGTTATGTCTACCATATATAAAGTATAACGGCATCCATCTACCGCCATGCCCTCATCTTTACTTGTATTGCCAATTACGTCCCATTTCGCCTTTTACCTCAATGGACTGTTCAGGATTTGACGATTGAAAAAACAAAACAGATGCAATTACATACGCATATTTCATTCGTCACTCGTGATGATCCTTATCCAAGATTGTCAATGGCATATAACCCTTTTTTCTGGACAGGAAGTATAACCAACTACCACCCTCAAAAGCCCCAATTTCCTTTCCTTACCAAGTAAAAGCTCGACAAAGCTTTTTAAAATGAGTTGTGCCACACGTTGCAAGTATGTTGTAGCAATGGCAGCGAGCTCTGTTCAGTGATGCTCCCATCCCATCATTCCTTGTAAAAAGTGGATTTTACAGGTCCCAAAAATCCATGGTGTCCTAATCCAATGCCATAAAACTCTCATCATTCTATGTGCTCTAAAGCTTTTTCACCAGCTGCACATATGAAATGGGGACTCGTCACAATCAAGTGGAGTGGAGTTTGCAGCTGACGAGTTAGCATTCACTCCCCAGTAATAGTGTCGACGGACCCATGAACTCAACTACCACAGGTTGATACACAAAAGGTTACAGACTGACATGTACACCACTTGATTAACTTCCGCACATGCACAAAAGTTGGAGCGAAAAATTACCAAGTACAATTCTTCCATTAATAAATCATCATTCCTATAAAATTTTCCTAGGATAATTTAGTCATACTCTTTCATTAATTTTTGTTAATCTTTGGGGGTGGTCTAAGTTAATTAGATATTTTTCGCACTCTTTAAAGGTCAGTCACTCTTGTTCTTTAATGAACATGTCTTTAAACTAACTTGAATTACGGTAGTTAGTCTCATAACTTAAGAGAATAGTCGACCCAAATTTGAATACCCTATAACAATAAATAAATAAATTTTTTTCTCTCCGTAGGTTATGAGAAATCATGGCATTTAAAATAAGTCCATACGTAGATCATTAACCGGACTTGATGACCCTATCAAATAATTTGAATTATCAAAGAAGGATGGTTTTTTTAAAACAATTGATATACAAATTTAACATAACTTATCAAATATTATTTATTATCGTGCAGATTGAATGAGATTCTGTTGAGTAATTATAAAGACTATTAATTAAATACAATACAAATATATATTCTACCAACCAATTAATTGATATTTCCATGAGAAAGTGTAGGATTGAAATAGAACATATACTCCTTCCGTTCGTAAATATCTGTCGTTTTACATAATTTTTTTTGTTTCATAATATCTATCGTTTAATGAAACTAAAGCATAATTAATATTTTTTCTTTCAAATTAACCCTTAACTTTTCAATGCATTAGATTAGGTGGAGGTTAAGTGTCCTTTATGTTCCTTTCCTTTCCAATACGTATTGAATATATGTATTTTAGTCTTGTGTAATTATTTTTTACTCATATTACAGTTATTTAATAATTTTTTTAATCCCTGTACAAAAATCTTTAAACGGCAGATATTTAGGAACGGAACGAGTAGTTGATAGAAATTAATCATTCTCATAAAAATTTGATGGGGTTTTTTTTTTTTTTTTGTGAAAAAAGGACTTGGACTTAGTTTTTTAAATTTATATTAGTTGATTTTCCTTCAATAACACTCATAGTCATATAACTTCTCATAACACTTTTGGTTTTTAAAGTATATATATTTTTTATTAATTTTGTCTTCATTTTATCAATTTTGTCTTTAAAGTATTCAATTTATATCATTTTGGTCTCTAATCAGACAATCTATCAAATTTTTTTACGAAAGCGATCACATGTCATTTTTTTAGACAATATCACGTGTCTAACATATAATCATTCCGTCAAAAACTTAATGATCCGTCTATGTAGTAATCAAAATGACACAAACTGAATATTTTAGGTACCAAATTGACAAAATTATTATAATCAAGAATAAACTCATAATAAATACATACTTTAAAGATAAAAAAAAAACTCGTACCTCCTTCCAAAAATACAAAATGGTGTGTTAATCTAGTACTAATTGTGACTTTATTGAAAAGCAGGCATCAAAATTCAAAGAGGGGTTGGTTGGGGATATTATCTACTCGATCCTAACATTAGCAAAACATGGGGACTTGATTGTCCAATAAATGTCCAATAGAAAACGACATAAATGTCGAATAGAAAAAAAATCTCTTACCACTTTCTGTATGGCTTCCTTCCTATACCGCGTCTTTACTCGGAAACCTGAAACTCGTTTTGACTCAGCAGCCTCAAAAGGACTGTATGCGAGAGATATCATAATGTAAATTAAAGATCAGCTACTATAAACAAGTGATTCTCAAGAATTAAATTTAAAACGTGTGGCCGGTGAAATCCTAGATTACAACACCTTTTCCCTCTCTTTCTATATATAATCATCTCATCGAATCCACTACATATACACACCATCCAAAAGTTGTTCATCACCTTCCAATTCTCCCTTCTCCTCGGCAGCCAACGCACAAAGACACCCCCACTTTGCACTTTTCACAGGGAAAGAGAGGGTTCTAGAGAGAGAGAGAAGCAGAAGATGGCACTGGCTAAAGAAATTATGGGTTCTTCAGTGATGGACAGATCTTCATTCATTACTTCATCAAAAGTAGTATCGAACAATAACAATTTTTGTCAGAGACAGTTCTTTGGTAACCCGCTAGTAGTAGTGGTTCCTTTGGAAAATAGGAGGTTGCAATTGAGGAAGAAGGTTGTGAGAAGAACAGCTGTGGCAGCTGTGAGCGAGGACTTGATGAAAGCTGTTATACCTGAAAAGGCAGTGAAATTTAAGGCGAGAGCTGTGGTGACAGTTAGGAACAAGCATAAGGAAGACTTACACGAGACAATCATGAAGCAGTTAGATGCTCTCACTGACAAGATTGGAAGGAATGTTGAGTTAGAGATTGTCAGCACTGACATAGATCCAAGTGAGTCATTAATTTTCTTCTTCTGCTTCTGGGTCTACTACTGGTAGCAGCGCATTTGATTCATCATGTCTGATCCATTTTGCTTTTTACATAAAAATTTAGTTTAAATGACAACTACAGTTTTTCTTTTTTAGTTTTCTGTCTGGTGTCTGATATGCAGTGCTACCTTACCTAGAATATTTTTATACTGATGATGAGTTTTGGTTTATTGTGGTGAAGAAACAAAGGCTCCAAAGAAAAGCAACGCAGCGGTGCTGAAGGACTGGTCAAAGAAATCAAGTGTTAAAGCGGAGCGGGTTAATTACACTGCGGAATTTGCAATAGACTCAGATTTTGGGATGCCAGGGGCGATCACGGTGACGAACAAACACCAGAAAGAGTTCTTTTTGGAGAGTATTACAATTGAAGGATTTGCATGTGGCCCTCTCCATTTCCCCTGCAACTCATGGGTTCAATCCAAGAAAGACCATCCCGGAAAAAGAATTTTCTTCGGCAATCAGGTAAACTCCACCACCATCATTATTTTTAACCTTTTTTGGATTTTGATTTGTTTTTCCAGCTGGGATTAATTAATTAAATTGAGACTTTTTGAAATATAGGGTTCAGTCAAATCTTCCTACTGCTTTTGCCGATAGTCATGAAAAATCAGACATTCTACTTTTTTAGCTTTGAATTTTTCCTAAAGTAAACTTATACATGTTGAATAATTCATGTTCATACCAATACCAATCTCTGTCTATGACTTACATTTTTTATTCTCCTCTCCTTTTTATTGCATCGACATGTTTAGTTTATACTAGTTGTTATCAATTTATAGACTTTCACACCATGCTAGCTAATATATGTATACATATAAGCTTTGACCATCTATATCATATAAGTTATATAAAGTAAACTATCTATATTTTGAGAGAGAAAAAATATATATTGATAATAATTTCAATACTATATAGCGTCGGTCAAGATGTAGTGAAACAGAAGTATATGCAACATTAGCTTTTTGGGACTTCTTATGATATCATAATGGTGGTGGTTGTGGTTGTGGTTGTGGGGTGGGGTTGTTAATAATGAGGCATAAAGAAGAAAAGTAGACCACTTGGCAAAGTTGTGACCAACAATTGAAAGTTTAGACTTTGTTTGTTTGTTTGTTTTGAAAAGATTAATAAAATGTATCGAAGGTAAAGCTAATAATGTTTTTGTTTGTTTGTTTGTCTTGTGTTGTGTTGGAATGAGAACAGCCATACTTGCCGAATGGGACGCCAGCAGGGTTGAAAGAGTTAAGAGAGAGAGAGCTTAGAAGTTTGAGGGGTGATGGGAATGGTGAGAGGAAGCTATCAGACAGGATATACGATTATGATATTTACAATGATCTTGGTAATCCTGACAAAGGAATTGACTTTGCTCGCCCTAAACTTGGAGGAGAAGGCTCTGATCGAAATATCCCATTTCCCCGCCGGTGCCGCACCGGTCGAGCTCCAACTGATACTGGTTAGCTAGCTTTAATTAATTAATATTATTTCTCCATCCCCCCACCGGATCATTTAGATTTCAAGTCTTTAATTTGTTAGTCATGATATATATATAATTATTAATTGCTGTGTGCAGATATGCAAGCTGAAAGCCGAGTGGAGAAGCCATTGCCGATGTACGTGCCCAGAGATGAACAGTTTGAGGAGTCAAAGCAAAACGCCTTCTCTGCTGGGAGGCTTAGAGCAGTGCTCCATAACCTGATACCATCGTTAATGACCAGCATTTCAGCAAATAACCACGATTTTAAGGGCTTCTCGGACATTGATAGCCTATACAGCGAAGGGCTTCTTCTTAAACTTGGGTTTCAGGATGAAATCTTGAAGAAGATCCCACTCCCCAAGGCGGTCAGCAAGATCCAAGAAGGGGGTCTACTCAAATATGACACTCCCAAGATACTCTCAAGTGAGCACTGCACTAGCTCTACTCACAACTTCTACAACCCAAATTTTGTTTGAAACTTGTTTCTGATGTAAATTGTAAAGCAGCGGAAGCGTTCCAACTGTTCGACGATTTATCTGTGTGTTAGTTCCTTTCAACTAGACTCTGTCTGCTAACACTTAAATGTGAACTCTCGTGCAGAGGACAAATTTGCATGGTTGCGAGATGAAGAATTTGCCCGCCAAGTAATAGCAGGGGTTAATCCCGTGAACATAGAAAGGCTTCAGGTATTTCCACCAGTGAGCAAGCTTGATCCCGAGATCTACGGCCCACAAGAATCAGCTCTCAAAGCAGAACACATTGTAGGCCACCTAAATGGCATGACCGTACAACAGGTGAGTCATGGCTTCTTGGCTCATGCATGATTGATGTATAAAAGAAAAGCAGATCACTTCACTATATAGGATTATGTTCATCGTGTCGTGGTCCCAACAAGTCCACTAGCTAGAGATTCTCTTTCTTACTTTTCAGAGGCTAATCATATTGTGCTTTGTGGTCATTCTAACAGGCTGTGGAGGACAATAAGCTTTATATATTGGACCACCATGACGTTTACCTACCATTCCTCCACGGGATAAATGCACTTGATGGTCGTAAATCATATGCAACACGTACCATATTTTTCTTGACTCCATTGGGCACTCTCAAGCCCATTGCCATAGAGCTCAGCCTCCCACCGGGTGGACCCAGTTCCCGGGCAAAGCGAGTTGTAACACCACCAGTGGACGCCACCACCAATTGGATCTGGCAGCTAGCCAAAGCCCATGTCTGCTCCAACGATGCTGGTGTTCATCAACTTGTCAACCACTGGTAAGCCAAAAGGGCAAATATTTCTTGAGGGATGACCTTAAATCAATATGCTTAAATTAATTGACCTTTTTTTTTAAATTTGGTCACGCACAGGTTAAGGACCCATGCAACTATGGAACCGTTTATATTGGCGGCACACAGGCAATTGAGTGCCATGCACCCCATATTTAAGCTTCTGGACCCGCACATGAGATACACGCTGGAGATTAATGCCCTGGCCCGCCAAAGCTTGATCAATGCCGATGGTGTGATTGAGTCTTGCTTTACTCCTGGTCGCTACTGCATGGAGATAAGCGCTGCTGCCTATAAGAATTTCTGGCGATTCGACTTAGAGGGTCTTCCAGCTGATCTTATACGAAGGTATATTTGCTATGTCCTTTTATATCTTCAAAGGGGACCACGACCATTTATCCACCTAACAAGAAAATGTTGGCAGTGGAACATAAAAAGACTCTGTTTACCCACAAACGTTAAACAAACAAACAAACAAACGGTATATAAAGATGATTTGTACATTTTTCCACAAGGCGATCTCAGAGTGGTCGAGACTTTCAGTTTTATTTTCAACACCGATGTGAATAACTCTCAAATAGAAAATCTCTAGATTTATTTATTCAGAGGAAGCAGAGTTTTAACTCGGTCTATCATGTCGACTATTTTGCTATTAACTGTTATCAAGCCAATCTTTGTTTGCAATATCTGTTATGTGCTTAATTTTCTGAGTTCCTAGTCAATTTATGCAGAAATTCTTTAGTTGCAATGATTAGGATTTCACTTTTTTTCTTCTTATCTTTTGGAGATGTGAGTGAACCTAACGAATTGCCCTTCTTTCATGCAGAGGTATGGCAGTACCAGATCCAACACAACCACACGGTGTAAAGCTCCTAATTGAGGACTACCCATATGCCACCGATGGGCTCATGATTTGGGGCGCTATCAAGAACTGGGTCCTCACCTATGTCAGTCGCTACTACCCAGACTCCAGCCTAATCTGCAACGACCGGGAGCTTCAAGCCTGGTACGCTGAGTCCATCAACGTAGGCCATGCCGACCTCTGCCATGCAGACTGGTGGCCCACGTTAGACAACACTGAGAACCTCACCTCCATCCTCACCACCATCATCTGGCTTGCATCTGCACAGCATGCCGCATTGAACTTCGGCCAGTACCCCTATGGAGGCTACGTACCCAACCGGCCACCCCTAATGCGACGATTAATTCCTGATGAAAATGACCCTGAGTATGCCGTCTTCCTGGCGGATCCACAAAAATACTTCCTCTCAGCTCTACCAAGCTTGTTACAAGCAACAAAGTATATGGCAGTGGTTGACACGCTATCAACTCACTCACCCGACGAGGAGTATCTCGGGGAGAGGCATCAACCATCGACTTGGTCTGGAGATGCAGAGATCATTGAAGCGTTTTATGGGTTCTCCGCCGAAATCAGACAGATAGAGAAGGAGATTGATAGAAGAAATCACGACACAGGATTGAGGAATAGGTGTGGTGCTGGGTTGTTACCATATGAGCTTCTTGCACCAAGTTCAGAACCTGGGGTTACCTGTAGAGGAGTGCCTAACAGTGTATCAATATGAAACCAAGGCTCCCTTCATCACTTTAGTCCAGAAATCTTGCTGCGTATCACCCTAATGTTTCTCTTGTGCTTATAACTCATTAGTATAATTCAACCTAAATTTGTATTTTATGTATCCCATTGCATATGGATGCCTTTAAAATAGGGTTGTATCATTTGTATATGCATAGAAGTCATTTTTTTTTTTTTTTTTTTTTGGGCAAGTAAACATTGTATTGATATGCTATGCAAATTTACAAGCCACAGGCTTTTACAAAAATAACAGCACCAAACAGGTGCTCAAAAGAACAGCAAAAGAGTCAATCTAGGAGAAGCACTGGTTGCTTGGCTAGTGCTACTACAGAATGAACTCATACAATGTAAAAGAAAGGTAACTCCCAACTATCAACAGCTCAGCTAGGAGAGGAAAGATGCCACATTTGAAGAAAGACATAATTTTGGGCAGACTCCTTAACCTTAAGAGTAATCAATCTGCTCCTTATCACGTTAATGATCCCCTTTATAATATTTGCTGAATTATTGGCTGCATTTCTAAAAATCCTTGCATTTCTCTCCCTCCAAAGGGTATAAAGAGTAGCTGCAAGGCTCAGCTTCAGAATTTTCATCTTCAAAGTCTTCCCTTTCCACTCTTTAGAAGCACTAAGAATGAGAGATTGCCAAGGTTTAGACTGCCAAGGCTCTCCACTCCTTAGCAACACTGCTTGCCATATCCCAGAAGTAACAGGGCAGTCAAAAAATAAATGTCTAAACAGAACACACAGATACACTCCTCGTGTTGCATATAAGCTTTCACCCGATCCTTAGTATTTAATCTTTCAAGAATAGCTAACCAAAGGATAAAGCTAATCCTGGGGATAGCTTGTCCATACCAGATAAGCCTATACCAGTGTACCTTGGGGAATTGTGGCACAATCCAAGTCCAATTTGATTGAGCTGTGTAAATTCCATTAGCACTAGGCAGCCATTTGACTTGATCAGAATGGAGGACATTTGGGGTATAGTTGGGCATGGTGCCACATATTTCATGCAAATTGGATGAGGTATGGTCAGGCCAATTCCAACTATCACCATCTATGATGCTCTCAACCATAGCAGTAGCTGGTAATGAAGATTCTTCAATAATTCTATAAGACTACTTCAGTAGCAAGGGTCTTTGAGGGTGCCAATTATCTTGCCACAACTTAGTTGATCTCCCGTCCCCTATCATGTGCTTGATTAAAGGTCTAACAAGAGGTCTTAACTTCAAAATCTTTTTCCAATTTCAAGACGAAACCTGAGGGGTTTTAAGCTCCCAAAAGCTTCTGCCTTTTTCATAAACAGATTTCACCCATTCAGCCCAAATGTTATCTTCATCCTTGAACATGTACCATATATATCTAATCATTAAGGCCTTATTCCAGCTGTGCAAGTCCTTTAGTCCAAGACCACCTTGTGCTTTTAGTCTTAATAACAACCTCCCAGGCAACTTTGCTCCCCTTATTTATGTTATGTGTACCAGTTCACAAAAAAGACCTGATGAACTGCTCAATCCTCTTCAATACTCCTTTAGGAATGACTAGGTGACAAAGCCAGTAACTTTGTATGTTGTATAAGACTGCTTGAATCAATTGCAGCCTCCCCGCAAAAGAAATCCAACTCTTAATCCTAGCTTCATATTTATCAATTAAAATAGCACAGTCACTCGGTCTAAGTTTGGAGGAAATAAGAGGCACTCCAAGATACTTTATAGGCAATGTTCCTTCAACAAACCCCAAGCATTGCTTAATTTGGCTTTTAACCTCATCTCGAATCCCAGCCATGAAGATATGACTCTTCTCAACATTGGCCATCATACCAGAAAGATCCAAGAACCTCTCGAGAGCTACCCCAAGAATAGAGACAGAGAGTAAATTACCATGGTAGAAAAGAAGTCATCAGCAAAACTAAGTTGTATAATGCCTTGTTTCTTGCACCTCCAGTGATATTTAAATCTAGTTGCAGCAGCCACTTCAGTCTTCATAATCTGAGTTAAAGCTTCCATAACAATCACAAAAAGATAAAGGGACATGGGATCCCCCTGCGTTAATCCTCTACAACTCGAAAAGAATCCCATAAGTTACCCGTTGATTGAAATGGAGAACTTAGGAGTAGGCACACAGTAGGTGATCCAATTAAGCATTACTTCAGGAAAGTCGTGCTACCTCAGTACGTTAATTATCCCAATCTAATGTGTCATATGCCTTCATGAGGTCCACCTTGATGGCACATTTAGGGGAACCCCTATCCTTATGATAATCTCTCATAAGCTCCTATACAAGCATAACATTATCTCCAATTCTTCTTCCCGGAACAAAAGCAGCCTGGTTGATGCTTATGATATTAGGCAAGACAGTCTTAATTCTGTTTGCTATAATCTTGGAAATTATCTTATACAAGGTGCTGCAGCAAGATATGGGCCTGTAATCCCCTAACTTCGTAGGATTGGAATTTTTTGGAACCAAAAAAATAATGGTGTTATTGATCTCTCTTAGTAATCTTCCAGACACGAAAAATTCTTGAACAGCCCTAGTAATGTCAGAACCAATAATGGATCAAGCCTTCTTGAAAAAACACCCAGTGTAACCATCAGGCCCTGGAGCCTTATTAGGATGTATAGAAAATACCACATCTTTGATTTCCTCCCCAGAAACACACCTTGCCATTCTTGTTTCTTGGTCAAAAGAAATTCTTTTACAGTTAAACTTGCCAATTTCCTGAACTTTGTTCAAAGAGCCAGGTGAATATCCTCCCTAAAGTGTCTTATAATGGTCCACTGCCATCTGTTTTACTTGTTCAGGGTCATCAACCACAGATCCTTCCTGCTGAGTGATAGATAATATCTTGTTTTTATTCCTTCTTGTAACACCAGTCTTGAAAAAGAACCCAATATTTTGGTCACCTTCTGTAAGCCATTGGATCCTTGCTTTCTGCCTTAAGAACTCTTCCTCAACTCTGGCTGCATTAACATGGTTAAGTAGCAAGTCTTTCTCCTTAGATCTAAGAATAAGGTTCATAGGTTGTTGATCAAGTTGCCTCTGTACTTGATCCAGCTCCTCTTTGGCAGCCTTAGCCTTCAGGGTAACATCTTCAATTTGGTTCTTGTTCATCTTTTTGAACTCATGCTTCAAGAGTTTCAATTTGGTGATCACTTCGAATTGCAAAGAACCTCTTATTGGTTGTTCCCATATCTTACTTACTGTTTGCAAAAAATCCCCCCTGCTGGCAATGAAGTTGAAGAATTTAAAGGGACATCTCCTTTTCCTGCTTCCGCCACCAATCCTAACCACCATGGGGCTATGGTCAGAAACACTAGCAGTTAAAAATTCAGCTCTGGAGAGGGTGATTTGCAAATTCCAAGTTTCATTGACAAGGACCCTATCAATCTTTCTCAATATGCAGCCATTAACGTCCCTGTTGTTACACCATGTGTAAAACACACCAGAAAATCTGAGATCATCAAGTTCGGCTCCTTGGATGCAATTATCAAATTCAGACGTACTTTGATCCCATCTTTTTTCAACCCCTCCTATGGTTTCATGAAGATTTCTCACAGTATTGAAATCCCCTAAGATTGTCCAAGGTTTAGAAGTATGAAATGACGCATGCTGTAGAATGTTGCCCCACAATGATCTTCTATTCCTCTCTTCATTTGAGGCATAAACAAAAGCAACAAAAAACGAAGTTCTAGTTTCAAGGTGAACAATAGAGCAATGAATCACTTGATCTGTTTCCTCCACTTTTGCAACTTCAACCACATTTGGGTTCCACCCAACCCATATCCTACCCAGAGGATGACTCAGGTAGTTGTCAAAGGACCTCCAATGCCCGAAAATAGACCTCTTGATTACATCACTATTAGCAACCCTTACCTTCGTTTCCACAATTCCCATTAAGTCTAACTGCTGATCACTAATCAGCTTCCTTATTTCCTCCTGTTTCTCAGGGCCATTAAGTCCCCTGATGTTCCAGTAGGAGAAATTGATCATCAAAACTTTTGGTTGAGTGTCTTCTGGAGCAAACCTACCCCAGAAATTCCAGCATTTACTGAATGCTTCTTGAATTTCTTTTTCTTTTTCTTTCCAGCAACAAGTTCACATAACTTCATTTCAGATGAATTAGCACTGGTATTACTGTTACTTGGTCCTTCACAGTTTTGAGTAGCATTATCGTTTTTAGCCCTCAACTCTACTTGTTCTTCAGGTAATTGAACAAATCTGTTGGTTGAAGGCAGGATGTCAACATTTTGGTTTATGGAAACATGAACAATTATGAAAGTGATTACTTGATCCTCATTTTAAAAGCTGCTCCCAGTAATCTCGCTAGGAGTTTCAACTAATCTTTTAGAAGTATCATTAGTCAACATCTTGCTAGACACCATAACTTCTGGGCTTACCATCTCAGCAGATGAAACTATTCCTTTGTCCTGGTGAGTAGTTGCCTTGTTTTGCACAGTTTGCCATCCATTTTGCTATTATTGTTCATTCTGCTGAGGAGCTTTGGAGCAATTCATATGTGTGTGGCCAAAAACATGGCAATGGGTGCATTGTTTGGGCCTCCAAGGGTATTGCACTGTTACTTCGATGGATTTAGGCTCTACTTGAGTCTCATCATAGACTTTGGAGATCAAAGGAAGTTATCAATCCTTCAGACGCATCCAGTTCAACACATATGTGAGCATAACTAATACGTTTTCTTGTTTCAGTTAGCTGATCAGCATAAAGGGGCCTCCCCACTGCACTAGTTGCGTAACTCAGACCTTCCTCAGTCCAATACTCCAATGGAAGTTTATGCAGATTAATCCATACTGGGATCTTGGAATGAGATTCTTTAGTTAACTCCATATGAGGCTGCCACTTCTTGAGTATAAGAGGCTTCCTAGATAACATCCAAGGACCCTGTTCTAATACTTTAGAGCACCCAATATCATTAGAGAATCTGAAGAAGAAGAACCTTCTATCATTAGCCAAAACATCTAAAAGCCCCATTTGCTTCCAGAGTTTCTGGGCTAAGTTGTTTACCACAAAGAAGGGTAACTTCTTTTCAATGAAGTACCCCACGAGGCAAAATTGCCGATTACAGTATCCAAGCTTAGCTATAGATATTGGGGGAGGAGACCACAACCCTGCCGATTACAGGATCCAAGCTTAGCTATAGATTTTGGGGGAGGAGACCACAACCCTGTTGTTTCTCCTAGCAAGCTCCCAAAATTTCAACCTCATGGCCTGCCTATTTTTACTCGGTCCATTTGGGTTCTGGTTAGACCCATTAGATTGGAGTATTTGGCTCCAAGTATGCTCCCTAGGTGGATTGGAATTTGAATTCACCTTCCCACTTCCCAACTGTGGAGGTATGACAAGAGAGGCTTTATCAAGAGGGTTAGAACTCACTTTAGCAGTATGGAGAACTGTTTTGGTGGCTACGTGATTTGTTTTTCCAATATTTCTGCATCATTGCTCCTCTGCATTTGAAGACCAACCATTGGAACTTTACCAAGACCATGAAGTACATCAGCTTTCATGGCTTCAAACTGCTGGTTTTTGCAACGAGCAAGGGAGTGGCCATTGAGGCCTTGTCCCTCGCCAGATTCTTATATCTCATGAACCTAGTTGCTATTGTTAGCAATGGTATCCTTGCCCTTGAGAATCAAAGGTGCCTCATATATAGGGATATTGGACTTAGGCATAGTATGGACAAATATGCACCACAGAAGGATAAAAGGTGGGTACAGAACAGAGGAGTGGAGGTATCCAAGTCGACGGAGAGCAGAAATTTTGGGGGTGACCCGTGAACAGGAACCAAGAGCTGGTCTTCGATTCCGTCCGTTTAGGGCTGGTGGGTTTTCGAGTCTCTAGGGTATGTGGGTTACAAATGTGGGATGAACCCCTTGTGAGTTATGGGTCTGTGAGGTGGGTTGATTGATACGGCGAAATTTTGTGCGCTGAAAAATTAGCGCAAAGACAAAGCAACCGGAAACTATGAGAAAGCTAGCTCATAGGGGGATACACACGTCAATGATACGGACATCAGGGCCGGCCCAACAGCATATCTGAAAAAGCCTGTTTTTTAGGCTCTATTTTTAAGGAAGGTCCACTTGTTTAAATACCATAATAATTCATATAAAAAAATTTTACAAAATTAAAAGCCCTTTTAATTATTTAGGCCCATATTTCAACTTAAATATTAAATATTCATAAAAAAAAATAACAGTAAAAAAAAATTAAACTCAACAGTCACATCAAATTAAAAAATTTGAAAGGTCACAAATCATTGTAATGGCAACCATTTTTTTCTCTCTCGGTATAACCAAAAGCCAACCGCCCAAGCCCCACCTCTTCTCTCTCTCTCGGCAAACAGTAAACCAAGCTGCCATCTTTCTCTCTCAGTACTCTTACAGTGTAATTGTGTAAAGTCATAGCCAAGTCTTCATTTCAACATCTGAGAGCTTGAGATGATCTAAGATCCATCCATTGCCACATAAGAGATATGGTGTAGAACTAAAAGCCAACATTGAGACCATTTAAGGTACTATTATTTCATAATTTTATTTTTTTTGTATTCGTTGTCTTTGCTTTCATAATTTTAGTTGTGTTATATAGTTTAACTTGTGTGTATTTGCATTTATACGTGATTTTGGTTGTTATATAGTTATAATATATTAATAATATGACACATAGAAGATAAACAAGTGAATACAAAAAATTAAAAAAAATATACAAAAATGGACCAATTAATAGTATCTCAAAAAGGATCTCTTGATAAATTTGTTACTAGTAAAAAAAATAATTTAACAAAAAATTTAGATGAATATCTGGAAAATGAACAAGTATATAATGTAATAGAAGATAATGAAATAAAAAATATTGAAACAAAAGATAATAAAATAAAAAATAATTAAATAAAAAATATTGAAATAGAAAATATTGAAATAAAAGATAATGAAATAGAAAATATTAAAAAAAATAGTGAAATAAAAGAAAATAAAATAGAGGTTTTTCAAAATTAAAATTGATAAATTTTTATTTAAGATCGACTATATCATAAGAAAAATTAACTGAATTAACGATATTATCAATTGAAAAAAATATGGTATCAAAACTTGAATATAAAAACTTAATTAGTACTTTTGTAACTCAAAAATTAAGAAAATTTAATTTTAAATATAAAATATTAATACTAAATATAAAATGCCTTATTTAAAAATACCATTTTAAGCCCCAAATTATCTTGAGCCACCTACAGACATGTGACGGAATCAAAACCGGATCGATGGTCACAGAGGTTGGGAGGAAAGTTCCGGCATTGTTTCGGGAGTGTATTTTTTCCATTTCCTCTTTGGTCTAATGTTAGGAACAAAAAAGCCTTTTTTAGCCTGTGCTGTATCATATCATATGCCATTCAAAAGGCTGCAGAGTACAATTTTTAACGATTATGTGGTAGTATATCCACTTGACATTATGAAGATATAGATCAAAAAACTTTGAGCATACAAATTTTACAGAAAATCGAGATCGATGGTAAGGGTGTCAATTTAAAATACGATACGTTAACACGATACAAACTAAACACAAAATTAATAGATTAAATACGAAATTAAACAGGTCAATACGCTTAAACACAAAAAAATCATATACCTGATCAATCAATATATTTTAAATTGGTTGACATGATTCAAACACAAATCTAACCTAACTCATTGTATACCCGTTTATAACAGTGTAATTAACCTATTATATATAACTAATGTGATCTTAACATTATTACTTATTAGTTATTACTTCTATTATAGTAATTGACAATATAATTTTTAACATTTTTATGACATTATAATAATGTAGTTCTTAATTTAATTTTTAAGTTGAAACTTGAATACAATTTAGTTAATTTCATTGATGAATGTTATATATTATTGAAAAAAAAAATTATTTAAAATTTTGGATGAATAATTAAAAGGTATATTTAATAATAATTAACAGGTGTAAAAACATGGTATATGTGTTCAATAGGTCATGCTATGTGTATTAACTCGAAACGACCTGTGTATTAAACATGTCAAAAAATGTTAGATTCAGATAACTAGTTTAATAATCAGATCAAGCTAATGTTTACACATCTTAACACAATTATTAAACAAGTCAAGTTCATGTTTTGGGATTTTCGAAACAAACACGAAATCAACCCGACACAAAATGACCCAACCTGACAAAGTTGTCGCCCCTAATTGATGGAAGTGACTTGAAATTTAAAAGCAACTTGCATTTTTACACAAATCCGAGAGAAACCATGTTCTTATCAAAACAAAACTTGTTTCTCTTAATTTTTCTTCTTCACTTATTCTTCTTTGCATGGCACATTAAAAAAACAGAGCCACAATCTTATCTTACCCAGGGGATCCACAAGCAACAATTTAACTAGTGCCGCACCCACTAAAAACTGGAAAACCATCTACACGTCCAATAGCGGGGCAGAAGTCTAGATCCCAAACAAATCACACTCGAAATTTAATATTAACACTGGCCGAAACCTTGATCTTCAGCACCAAAAAACCAAGTGATATTCAACATTTCATATGCAAATGAAATGCCACCGCAAATTTACACCTGCCATACAAAAGTGTTGGAAACAAATTAGCCACTCAAAGGATTACAATTGAGTTACTCAGGAGATAGATTTCATCTTTTATGCCAAGCTCAGAGAGTAATCATCCATACCTCGCCGTCCATGTAACAGCCAGAAAGTGATATGTACAACAAATAAAGAACCCTGCAAACACTCAAAAACATAAGCGCATCCTTACAGATATACTGAACAGAGGGTATCAAGTTTGATATAGGATGCACAGAAAAGCTATTGATAAACACCTTTGGTGACAAAAATGACTTGGCAGGAGCTGTTACAGCAGGGAAGCCTAAACATTTAGCAGTAAGTAATCAGGTTTGTCGGCGATGACAATGCTATCTAAAAACAAGACTTCCATTTTGTTGCAGTCTCAAATTTTCAATTAGTGACTGGTAGAATGATTTGAGCGCCTTGATATCATTACCCTGAAAAAGGATGGAGCAATTATACATCAGTTAGCAGAACATAATACAGCTGCAAAAAGAATGCAGTCATTGGCCTGAAACCAGGCAAGCTCAGTCTTGGGCTTTGCAATCCCAAAAACTTGAACAGGACCAGTCAGTGCCAAAGACTTTAGCAGGAAAAAAAAAACATTTGAAGCCTTTTTAGAGTTAAAGGCCTAATTCTGATCTGCTGAAGGAAGGACCTCAGCTTGACCATCTATCAACTAAGCTCAAGCTGGGCTCTACATTCAAAGGTGAGCTCCACTTACATTGAACAGACTCAACTCAGCTGACAACATGAGGAAGAAAACATGAGTAGAATTATCTTAAATGATATACTCTTATTCAATCAATTTTTAAACTAGCAAAATTTTAGACCTTTGTATTATCTCAGGTGATACAGAAAAGAGTTCAGGCCCATGTCAGAAGTTTGATATCTAGATCTACTAGACACAAATGTATAATTTTAAATAAGTCATAATTTTCCCTGATCCCTGCAGAGAATATCTATTATTCTACTTTAACGGTTGCCAAAGTAGTTAGAATACCTGCAACTTTTGACAATATTGCGCTGCCAAATCTCGAGGCCAGTGTGCAGTGGGGAAACCTTTTGATACAAAATGAACAAGAAAATCATTGCCAAACTTCTCATACATGACCTTCTGAGCCAATACTATCTCTCCAAACAAGACAAGCTGCCGTGCACATCCCAAACAATCATCAGAATGTTAGTTTGCAGGGATAAAAACGTGTGAATTTTCTGAATATAAACATCCAATTCACAACCAAATACAAAATCACATAAATGTTGTGCTGGCCATTTCTATGTTCCGCACTCTTCCGATCACAGCTTTCAACATTAAAACTGAAGTTTCATATTCAACCAATTGGCAGGTGCTCTCATGGCACTATATGGTTTGGTTTTTCCAAACGAGACATATTCATAATCATGATAGCTTATGGTTTACCAGAAAGTATGCCCTTAATATACCACAATGGCGAAATGGAATTCATGTAGCCTACTCCAAAAAATGTTGGGACAAGGGCTTTCTTGAGTTGAGTTGAGACAGAGTTGTATTCAAAGCATATATGAACTGGAAAACCACCAAATGCGGCCACAGGCAACTGTAACCGGCATAAGCTTGGTGGCTCCATCAACAGTTTGAAAAAAAAGTTCAAGATATACAGAAGGAAATAAACATGAACCTGTCATAGAGATAAGTAAATCCAGCAACCTGAATAACTACTAACCCCAGGTTAACCACACGACTAATAATTTTCTTTTTCAGTTATTTTGCGGGAGCAAGATACCTTGAAATCGGCTAATAATTTTCTTTTTCAGTTCTTTTGCGGGAGCAAGATGCCCTTCAGTTCAACCAATTTTTCTGACCCAGGGAAAAAAAAAAGTCCTCTTTTCAAACACCAAAAAAATCGCCCTTGAAGCTGCAACAAGTTGGTACTTTTGTACATTTAGATAGGGAGAATGATGGAAGAGCAGGTGCCTTACTTGTTAAATTCCAGTCTCAGACTAAATCTGATATAGAAAACAGAAAAGGACCTATGAATTTTGGCCTTATTGGTTATGAGATGAATTTTGTTGTGTGCAACAGTGAGCCAGCCTACTTCATATAAAAAAGCGTGCTGCACCACATTCAGGGTGGAACTTAGAAATGTTACCATTCAACTCGACAAAGACATTGGCTCTAGGTTGGCGTCAAAACAGTCAGTTATTAATACTCTGCTCAAATGCAATACTTCAATTAACCATATACCATTATGTGCACTGACAGTACTTCAACTCACACCAGTTTTGAACTTCCCTCAACCTTCAAGGACTACTAAATTCAACCAAATGACTCCTGAGTGATGCATTCTATGGTCCTTTCTTAATGACAGAACCACAGCAACTTCTTTCTTACCATTTGATGTCACCCCAAAATTTCTCTTAAATATAATCAACTCCAACCCTTAAATTTCTGGTTTTAAGAAGCATCCATTACAACTCCATTATATCTTAGCATACACATGTAACACATAAGTTCAAGAGAGTGCCCATTTATACGCAAACTCTATGTCAAGGATCTCACAAGGTTATATATGTTTCTTTGAACATAACCACAAGCAACTTCACATTATTCAACAAAGCATATTCAAATGGCACATCTAGTAACTAACTCCCTCTGAAGTCTATGCAAATGAAAAGAATCTATTCCAGAAGAACATGAACCACCAGCAGTGAATATGGTGCTTATATAGATTCATCTTGTAAGCACAAACAATTGACAGTTAAAAAACAGAAAAAACACTTGGCTCATGTGATGTCAAAGCATAATAAGGAAATTAAACAGTTGATTCAGAAGAAAAAAGAGCTCTTTTTCGTCATACTTGAGAAATGGTACATGCCAATTAATGCTGCAGAAAAGATATGCATGCCCAAAAAACGTAATAATTGATAAAAGAAAATAAATCAGTTTCTTTGCTATATGGAAACAAAGTAAGTCAAATTGCTGCTCATCATACAAAATTCAAATGGGCAAAATCTAGCATTAAATAGTTATCCTACAGCATGATATGAAAAAAAGAAAGAAACACAAAAAATATAAGCTGCCCTATCAATTATATTATCTGTTAACCAGAAAAAATATTTGTCTTTGGAAGATGAACTTACAGTATTCGCATCATGAAACTCAAAGGACTTGTCAAGCACGCTGTACAAACAGCAGTTTGTTGCAAAGGCCTCAATTACAAAATTTTGGAACCCAGGTACCTGAGATACGTTCACCACTTCAGTGCACTGACATAGTTAGCACCGCACTACGAGTTAATTAAAGGGCTGATTACCTTTTCTTCACCATAAGGCGTAGTGCACCAGTCTTTAATAAGTCGAATAAATATTTGCACACATGCCTAGTTAACAGAATTATAGAAGAGGTCAGCCGCATTCTGCAACGAAATACATATTATACAGGTCTTAAAGCATTGTACTCAAAAATTTTAAAAAATATCAGATGATATGAATAAGATGTGTATGTTAGGAATTGTAAGTATCAGACATGCCTTTCTGACAGTAACATCCTTATGATTACAAGACGTGTGCAGTAGCAACTGCATCATTGGGTCCAAGTAGCCCCTACTTTTGGCAGAAAGGTAAACTGAAGACAGATCATGTGTAGCTATCACATGAAGAAATGTGTACAATGTCCGCTGAAGTTCTTGTAATTCACGGATTTCCTACAACAGAAAGCAAAAAAATCATTTTATAAACACAAGCAACTCACAATCTTAAATCTCCATTGAAGAGTGGATATTAAACTCAAACATAAAATGCAGGAGAAATGCTAAAAGAATAGTCCGCAATCCAAACTTGCTTAGTTCAATTTCCCATCTATGGGTGTATAGTTACTTTTAGTTCATCACGCATAAGCATAGTTATCAAAATCGTACAATTCGCGATTCCATTCGTACTATTTGGTTCGATACAAGTACAAAACGATTCATATCTTATATGAGAATCGTTTTAGAGTTGAATCGCACATGAATCTTACGATTCGATTCGTATCGCACGAATTACACAATTCAATCACTTTTTTCGTAAAACCGAAATTTTTTGCAAAACAGACTTCGTTTTGTCCGTTAAACAATAAAATGACGTCATTTTTTTTGCAGAGGAACTCACGCCCTAATAAAAATTCAATCTCTTTGCTCGTTCTCTCTCTGACACCGTCTAAAACTCGTCATGCATTGTCTAAAGCTAAAAATCATGGCTAACACTCTTGCATCATCGATTGAATTTAGCTCTCAATTTTTTCATGGATAGTTTGTTAGCTTCTAATTTTTTGTTTCAAAATGTTAGCTTGTATATTTTATGTTAATCAATTGGCTTATTTGTTCTTTTTTCAATCATGTTTGTAACCTTATCTATATTGGGTGTCATTATTTTGGTTCTTGAATCGCCATGGTTTTTTAATAAATTTTTTTTTAAAGTTGTTGAATTTGAAAATGGTTAAGGAAAACATGAAAATGAAGTAAAGGCTAGTGTATTTCTATTTAGATGAAGTAATTATGTCCATTAATTATTTTTAGAATGCAATAATGTTCAATATTCAATATTTTGTCTATTTTAAATAGATAGTATTTATTTTTATTTTTGTTCAAATTTTGTGTCGAATCTTACGATTCACGATTCTCAAATTTAAGATTCCGATTCATGATATGAATCGCGATTTGAGAACTATGCGCATAAGTAACTTGGATTTTAACCTTTCCAAGAAGCATCTTATTGAATACCTACTATGAATCTGTTTATGCAAAATCTCCATCTTGATATCCTATGATAATGATTATTATTCCTAGATTATTGGTTGCACGTTATTGTTTTTTTCTCTGAATCATAAGGAATATTTTTATTAACAACATAAAAACAAATATAAAACATTTCCTTTGACAACCAATGACTCCCACGAATACCGTAAGTATATACTTCCATTCATCAATATAACATTGCATTTCATGCGATAACATGATGGCGCATGAATCACACGTTTGTGGGAAAGAGTTGTAAACAGAAAAGCATCAGCTTTTTTACATTTATCTATACTACTAATAAAAGTACCTTAAGATGAAAAACTTTTAAATCTCTATTTCATAGTTGTCAAATCGCGACTCATATCGTGAATCGGAATTCTAAATTTGAGAATCGTGAATCGTATCGAATCGTGAATTGTAAGATTCAACATAAAATTTGAAAAAAATTAAAAAATAATACTATATATTTAAAATAGACAAAATATTAAATATTGAACATTATTGCATTCTAAAAATAATCAATTGATATAATCACATCGTCTAAATAGAAAGACACTAGCCTTTTACTTTATTTTCATCTTTTACTTAACCTATTTCAAATTTAACAATTTAAAAAAAAAATTTATTAAAGAGTCATGATTGTTCAAGAACCAAAATAGTAATGCCGAGTATAAATTAGGTTACAAACATTAATGAAAAAAGAACAAATAAGAAAATTGATTGATCGGTTAACTTGAGAGTAAAAATCAATATAATTGTCTTCAATATCATTCTAATGATGATGTGAGCGCGTTAGCCGTGACCTTTAGTTTTAGACAACGCAAGGCAAACTTTAGACGACGTTAGAGAGAGAAAGTGTAAAGAGGTTGAATTTTTATTAGGACGTTGATTCCTTTGCAAACAAAACGATATCGATTTGCCAAAAATTTGAATTTTAAAAAAAAATAATTAAATCGTGCAATTCATGCGATATGAATCGAATCGTACGATTCAGATGCGATTCAACTCTAAAACGATTCTCATATAAGATACGAATCGTTTTGTACTTGTATCGAACCAAATCATACGATTTTGATAACTATACTCTATTTTATCCATATAAAATATTGCAAAGACTATTCTATCTTTTTACAATTAAATATCTATATTACCATCATATCCTTATATTTTTAAATCTCCAAATTATCTATAAAATCTATTTTAATTATTTAATCAGTTTCTATAATTTGATTGATTATATTACCCTTCAAAAAATATGCAACATTATATTTTTAATAAAGTGTTCAAAAAATTTCATCAATCTAATATTACTAATCTCATATACAAAGATAACATTATATATATAACCAAAAAGTTTAACCCTTTCATTTCTAAAATAAAAAATAATCATATATATAGTTTTTTAAAATCAATTTATATTACATTAATATAATTCTATAGTCACAATAAACTTTCTAAGTTGTACTAAAATCTTATGTAAAAATAGATATTGTAATATATTTTTAAGTAAAACTTAAATTTTTTAGAATTTTAATATGCTTGATAATATATATTATAGATTAGTATATTAAATCTTATCCCAATTGACCTAACTAATTTTTAATTATAGTAAGGTTCCAATGTGAGTAGTATATTGACAATTACTTTTATTTTATTTAACGAATTATAAATAGAGTCCTAATCAAATGAATTTCAAAAAATTTAATTTCTCAAACATCACTAAAAAATTAATCTCAATCATAAAATTCTAAAAAATAGAATTTTAACTATTTCTTTTTTTTATCTTTTTTTTTATGGTTAGAACAAAAAATTAGCAATAAAAATTAAGTTTATTAAATTTGAGATGATATGTAATTCAAATACACATATATCTAATATGTTTTATTAATTTTTGTATACGAAAACTATTTGTGTGCAATGCATGGGGTGCAATGCTAGTAACATAAAAGAACTAGCCAAAAATTTGCAACATATCAACGCCTCAACAGCGTATGGAACTTGATGATCAAAACACATGTGCGATCAACAACACAGTTTAACTAGTCCCCATACCTCAGTATTGCTCCCAGGCCCTGAAGGAAACCCATCCTTTGGGAGAATATTAAATATCCTACTAGCAATAGCAGGGTATACTTCCTCTAATATCTCTTGGACTGCAGTGTTGAATTTGCAAATAAGCTGATTGATCAACAACAGAAGACCCGCTAGTTCCTTAGGCTGCAATGCAAAAACAAGGTAGAGTCAGACCCTGATACCAACAAGGATGATATACCACGATACCAACAACAATGATATGATAAACATACTAATAATTCATGAATCATTTCTTCACGACAGGAAAAAAAAAACACCGAGGAAGAAACAACAAGGACAAGTTTTCCTCACCATTGATGTGTACTTTCGACAAATAGTATCTATTTAAAAAAAAAAATTATGTTAGGGTGTTAATCAAGCGGAACCTTTGGAGCTTTGCTATACTCAGGCTCAACTCAAACTATTGAAAACTTGTTAAAGCTCGACTTGAGCTCGGACACTGAGCCTAAGTTTTTGTTCAAGCTCAGTGCAACATGAGCTCGAGCCAAAACCGAGCTATGAAAACCCAATCACAAATCCGTTCTCCAAAAATTTCAAATCTCAACTTTAGATTACAAAAATTCAAAACTAAATATAAGCCCAACCACCAAAAAATCTCTTGTTAAGAGTATTGGGGTATTGTGTGTAGATTGTTAATAGTGTTAGGGTACTATGTGTAAATACAAGAGGATGTATGTGTAATTCTTATATTATGAGTTAACTATAAATACAAGTGGTTTTGTGAGAGTAGGTTAGGTTTTGACCACTCTCCGTCTTTCTCTAATATTGAGTTTATTCTCTAAACTTAACATGGTATCAGAGCAATACGATTCTAAATACAAATATTAGTATTAGTCTGTGTTTGTGTTGTGGAAATTACTTGGCTTGGTGACATTACTGTTAAGGTAGTGTCACTGTGCTACTGTCAGAGTTTCGGCGTCGTGGTGGTATTACACAGTGGTTATGATACACTGTGGTGATGGTGGTGGTACAACGCCTGGGGTGGAGATTTCTACTGTAAGGTGTGTTGACTTAGGTGCCTTTGAGTCGATCGTGGTGGTGTGCCTGTGAGTCGATCGTGGCTTCTGAGTCGATTATCGACGTTAGTGGCCTCTACGGTGGTTATTGTGGTATTTTGATGGTGTTGTGGTGCTGGCTACTGTACAAGGTTCTCTCAAAACCCTAATTTGAAGAAGAAGAAGTCCCTTGGGGTTGGTTGCGGGTCGGGTCCAGCCCAAGATCCACTCCAAACCGGTTCAAGGCCTGTTCAGTCCCGATTCAGGCCCGGTTCAGTCCACTCCAGGTCGGTTCAATCACGGTTTAGTTAGTTTGGCACCGGTTCCAGCAACTTTTCCACTGGTTCAGTGATCCAGTTTATCTTTCCTGGCCAGTTCAGTGGTCCAACAAGGTTTTTCAATCCGGTTCAGCAATTACAACAAGGCCCTTCAGTCCAATTCAGTTATCCAGTGGTCTTCTCTTGTCTGTTCAGAAGTCCAGTTGCTTTCTCTTACTCCATTAGGGTGTCTAACAATCAGGTTGTCTTTTTTTTTACTATTTGCTTAATCCGTTCTGTCAGGCATTGATCATGGTGTCTCCACTGATCGCTCCGCTCTTGTGGTTCCCAGTAGTCATAGTGATGGTCACCGAGGTAGCCATGGTAATCGTGATGGTCGTGGAGGTCGTACGAATGGTCGTGGGGGCCGTAGTGGACCTCGTTCTTGTACTCACTGTGGTCGTGGAAGGCATATTGTTGACTTCTGTTGGGATTTACATGGAAAACCTTCTGGTGCTGCTAATCGGGCTTCTTATCAAGATGACACCTCTGTTGTTGCTTCCGTACCTCGGTCAGCTCCACCAAACACTGGCTCAGTTACTATTACACTAGGTCGAGAGGAGTATGCCCAGTTTCTGTCCCAGCAACAGGCTGTTCCATCTCCCTCCACTGCTACTTTTGCCCAGTCAGGTACTACTACTTATTTATTGTCCTCCACCCGCAGTCCCTGAATCATAGACTCTAGCGCTTCTGACCACATAACTAGTGCGTCTAATGTTTTTTCTACTTATCAGTCTGCTACTTCCATACGTAGTATTACTCTTGCTAATGGTACTTGTTCTAAAGTTTCAGGTCTAGAGACTACTCACTTGGGTCCTGATATATCTCTATCATCCGTGTTATTTGTTCCTCGGTTTCTTTTTAATTTACTTTTCATTAGTAAGATTACTCGTTTTCTTAATTGTTCTATAACATTTTATCCCTCTTATTGTGTCTTTCAGGATCTCAGGACGAAGAGGAAGATTAGTACGGGGCAAGAAGTCAGTGGCCTATATTACTTTGATTTTGATTCACCTACTCGGGCTCTACAGACCTCGTTGTCTCCTTTTCAATGGCATTGTCATCTTGGGCATCCCTCTTTCCAGAATCTGAAGCGCCAAGTTCTCAATCTTAGTTGTGTGTCATCTTAATCTTGTGAAGCTTGTCAACTTAGTAAGCATCACCATGTGTCATTTCAGTCTAGAGTCGATAATCATTTGTCTAGTCCATTTGAGTTGGTTCATTCTGATGTATGGGGTCCAATAAAGAATATTTCATCTAATAAATATCCTTATCTTGTGTCATTTGTGGATGATTATTCTCGTGTGACATGGTTGTTTCTGATGAAAGCTCGTTATAAATTATTCTCTATATTTGAGACCTTTCGCAAGGAAATAAAAACTCAATATGGTTGTCGTATACGTATTTTACATTCTAATAATGCTCGAAAATATGAATCTGATTTTTTTTTAGCTTATCTTAGTAAAATTGGCATTATCCATCAGACTTCTTGTGCGTACATCTCTCCACAGAATGGTGTTGCTAAACGCAAGAACCGTCTTTTGCTGGACGTAACCCGTGCATTGTTATTCCAGATGAATATTCCCCGATATTTTTAGAGTGATGCTATTCTCACTGCTTGTTATATTATTAATCGTATACTATCATTTGTTAAATGGACAAAGTCTATATTCTGTCTTTTTCCTTGGTAAACCCTTATTCTCCTTAACTTCTAAGGTTTTTGAGTGTGTCTGTTATATTCACAACTTAGCCCCTGGGTTTGATAAACTTGACCCTCGAAATACTAAATGTGTATTTCTTGGATACTCTCGCACACAAAAAGGGTATCGTTGCTATAGTCCTTCCCTAAGATAGTACTTTACTAGTGTCGATGTCACATTTGAGAAATCTATTCCATATTTTCTGGCACCTGCTCAGCCTTTGGATTTAGACTTTGGGACGTCTCTTATATCACCATCACTTCCCTCACCGTCAGATATTCCGCTGCCCACTGTATCACCATCCACTTTATCTCTTCGTGTATACTCTCGTCGTCCTCACCCATCGCCTGAGGTGTCTGTACCGTCTTCCTTGCCGTCTGCTGATCCTGGTACATCAGGTAATTTAGATTCTTTACCTATTACTCTTCGCAAAGGTACTCGTTCATGTGTTACTAATCATCCAATTGCTCATTTTATTTCATATGATGCCTTGTCTCCTGTCTTCTCTTATTTTACCTCTCAATTATCTACTATCTCTATTCCTAAACACTTACAGGATGCGTTATCTGATCCAAGTTAGAGAAAAGCTATGGAGGAGATGGATGTCTTACATCATAATGGAACTTGAGATCTTATTTCTTTACCTCCTGATAAATGAACTGTTGGTTGTCGTTGGGTGTATACTTTTAAATTTCATCCGGATGGTTCTGTAAAGCGTCTCAAAGCTCGGCTTGTTGCAAAGGGATTTACTCAGACTTGTGGTATTGATTATGAGGAGACTCTCTCTCCTGTTGCCAAAATTTTCTCTGTTCGAAACTTGATTTCTTTGGCTGCTATTCTTGATTGGCCTTTATTTCAGTTGGATGTCAAAAATGTCTTTCTAAATAATGACTTGGTTGAAGAGGGATATATGGAGCAACCACCTGGGTTTACTGCTCAGGGAAGTACGAGAGTGTATGTTAGTTAAAGAAATCTTTATACGGTTTGAAAGAGTCATCAAGGGCATGGTTTGGTAAGTTTTCAGATACAGTTTTAGAGTTTGGTTTTCTTCAATGTTAGACAGACCATTCTGTGTTTCATAGATAGACGGATGCTGGATATGTTCTATTGGTGGTCTATGTAGATGATATTGTGATTACTGAAAATGATTCTAAGGGAATTGTCAAGTTAAAAACCTTCCTGCAAGATCGATTTCATACGAAAGACTTAGAAAAACTCAGGTATTTCTTGGGTATTGAGGTGGCTCGATCTAAACAGTGTATTTGTTTATCTCAAAAAAAAATATGTACTTAACATGCTAGAGGAAGCAAGTTTGCTGAGTGGCAGGCCGATTGATGTTCCTATGGATCCGAATCAGAAACTGTTGATGGATGATGGTGCACTATTTGAAAATCCGGGTCAGCATCGTAGATTGATTAGGAAGCTCAATTACCTCACTATTACTCGACCAGATATTTTCTATGCAGTCAGTATAGTAAGTCAATTTATGAGGTGTCCTAGAGTACCACATTGGGATACAGTTACTCGTATTCTGCGATATCTCAAACGTGCTCCTGACTTTGGATTGTTATATTGAGCTAATGGACATTTTAGAGTGGAAGGTTTCTCAGATGCTGATTGAGCTGGCTCTCCTTCTGATCGGAGATCAACCACTAGTTATTGTACTTTCTTAGGAGGTAATGTTGTCTCATGGAAAAGTAAAAAACAACCAATGGTAACAAGATCTAGTGCTGAGGCCGAGTATAGAGCAATGGCGCATACGACGAGTGAGTTGACTTGGCTACTACACTTCCTCCAGGAAATTGGGCTTCCAATTCAACTTCCTTTATAGTTGTTCTATGACAACCAGATAGCTATCCATATTGTTGTCAATCCAGTGTTTCACGAGAGAACTAAACATATTGAGGTTGATTGCTATTTTATCCGAGACAAGATAGTAGTTGGAGAGATTATGACTCTATTTATAAAATCTGAAGATCAGCTTGCAGACATATTTACAAAAGCATTGAGTCGTACATGTCTTACAACATTTTGTTTCAATCTTGGATTATATGATATATATAGTCCAGCTTAAGGGGGAGTGTTAAAAGTGTTGGGGTATTGTGTGTAGATTGTTAATAGTGTTAGGATACTATGTGTAAATACAAGAGGATGTATGTATAATTCTTATATTATGAGTTAACTATAAATACAAGTGGTTTTGTGAGAGTAGGTTAGGTTTTGACCACTCTCCGTCTTTCTCTAATATTGAGTTTATTCTCTAAACTTAACACCTCTAAACAGAAATCAAAACATACAAATGCAATACAGTACACTATATCTATACACGCGGATACACTAAAAGCCCTTTCATGTTTTAATTAACTGTTCCAGTTTCTCACACCAACTAGGATTTGGGTTGTGCATGGTGGTGGTGGTGGTGGTGGTGGGTAAAAGTAGATGAGCCATGAGATCAGTTGACAAAGAAGAGTCTCGTGGATTCAAAACATGGAGGAAGATTGGACGAAAAACAAAGAGGAGTGAAATTTGTGAACTAGGAAGGGGAGAGAGAGAGAGCGGGGGGGTGAAAATACGCAGTTAGACTGCTGAGAAATAGTGGGAGATAACAGGGGGTTTGGGCCTCAAGGTCTGCCACTTCCTAGGAGGGAGATAAAAAGACATTCACGTGGGTGGAGTGGGTAGTTGGTTGCCATTAGTGATGAGTTTTGGAAGACATTCTCCCTTTGTTTGAACATTTCTTACTAGTTTTACCAAAACACTCTTAAAATCCTAATTTGCGCTATATTGAATCATTGGCACAAATGTGAAAACATACAAAAGGTAGGCAAGCTTGGGCCCACAAAGATCGAGTCGACTCGTATTTTAAGAGAGTCCAAAAAAATGTTCAAATTTGGCTCGTTTTAAAACGAGCGAGCTTGAGCGAGCCAAAAATGAGCTGGGTTCATGTAGCTCAATTTGTTTGACAGCCCTAACCATGGCTCCAAATCCAATAAATGTCCAGAAGTGTAAAGGATACTAAGCAAAAGATAATCCAAATGCTCCACTTCTTGATATGGCTAAATATTTTACGAATCATATAAAGGTGGAATCCAAACAAAGGTGCAACACATAATTACAGAAGACATATAGTCCTAACTGAGACTTTCAATATCCACAAATTTCACTAAGCTTTGGTCGAAGATACATATGAATTTGATCACACATTGTACGAAAGTTAAAGAAGTGGATTTCACAAATAAAACGGAATTCAGTGGCTAGGAGCTAAATGAATCATCGGCTTAGTAGTAAGCAAAGAATACATACATAAATAATACAAATATAACTACTGTGTACCTCACTCTCCGTAAGCAACTGTTCCAATGCCTTCGGAAGATAAGGAAATACAGATGCTCCTAAAGTGTCCACCATCCTGTGAATAAATGATGTGACCTGATATATGGAAGCTAATATTAGGTAACACTTTATATTATAAAGTAAGAGTACAAAGTGCTCCAACTCATACCTTACACCGCAAGGGCTCTATCTTTGGAAATACAAGAAGAATTTGTAGGAGAACATCTAATGTCTAATCAAATAGAAAACAAAAGAAACTTCAGCACAAAGACAAGATATGTTGAAACAGTATCTCTACCAAAAATAAAAGCAAAATCTGCTTCCTATGCAATACATTTATAACGATGGTTGAATGAGACAGGCATCCAAGAGATTATCAACTATGATGCAGCAACAAATTTCAATATATTCCTCACCATAATTCACCCGGCGAAGAAACACACAAGTTTACAAAAAGTGGATACACGTGCAAAAGGGCATAGGGGCAAGAAGAGTGAAAAAGAGCATTATCGGTAAGAGGACATCCATGAGACATCGGGAAAAAGGAGAAACATAAAAAGGAACTACTCGCCTTACGCAAATTGAATTATTGCTATTCAACTGGCTTTGTCATATAGTTGTTATTTTAAATTTCAATATGTGGAAAACTAAGACAAAATGTTAGGAGGAAACAAAACCAGACCTGGGCGTGCATCAATAGAATAGCATCTACAGATTATGCATTGATTCTGTTCAAGCCAATCTTTTGATTTGATCCCAAAAGGTAAATGCCAAAATTGCCAATTGTTCGCAAACCAACAGGCAAGCCACTCCATGTTTTGAACCAATAATAGACAAATACTATATGAATGTCTAATCCCTCGATAGAAGGAGAAAATGACCGAAAGCATGTAAAAATTTACAGGTGCAGCAAATAAAGAAGCTCTCATCTATTTTATTAGAAAAAGAAAATAAAAAGTGTGGATTGTAAAGCTCAAATTTGGCTGAAGTGATAATCAAGTAATAAGAATCACCCACTCCCAACTGGAACTATGAACCCAAAAGAACTGAAGAGAAGAGCCCACGAAATTCAGCAAGCACATGTACTTCAACATGAACAAAAAAGATAGCCCTGAATACAAACCTGCTTAAACATCAGACCAATTGCGGGCCGACTAGCTGTTACGAGACGCTCACTGAAACCCTGGAATGCAAAGACAGCATAAGGAACAAGAATAAACTGATAGTCATAGACAAAATGCACATGCAAATCCTAGATAAACTTGCAGTCACAAATGCAAGCCATATCTTTTAGGATATATTACTAAAACGTCTCATGACCTATGGGTTTATTATCTGATGAGGAGACCCAGCAGGAAATTTTATTTAGAAATTACTTTTTTACCTTTCAAAAGTAAGTTTATTTATCCTTCAAAATTTGGTCAAAATACTCTATGCTATTATAAATGTTCAAGGATAAACAAACCTTGCTGAGGGCGTTAATGGACATAATAATCTGCTGAATATTTGCAATCCTTGTAGGAGACTCTTCTGGGTTCTGAACTTTGGCATTCAAGAGTAACACCTCAACCTGCATGAAACATGAATATTTCAAAACTTAAGTATAAAATCGATCAAATGAGACTCAATAACATTTCACTCACATACCAGATGAAAAATAATAGGGGCTCACACAAATGTGAAATTTAAACAAGAATATAGTCCTAGTTCTAGAACAGTAAAATAAAGTCTCCATACGCTAGCATGGATAATTCCATGTTTCATAAATTTGTTTCAAACTTAACCTGCTGACAAAGAGGAGTAAGCAACGCTGAAAGATAATCAGATTGCTTTTCCAATGGTACATCTTCCATTCCAATTAATAAGCCGATTGCCTGTGAAGTGTTCATGCAGAAGTTAGATCAGAAACCAAGTTGCCTTGTACCCAACGTCGACTACTTCCACTTCCAGATGTATGCAGATGTAAGTAAGAAATTACCTCAAAAATGTGGCTACCATCTTCAGATCCCGAAAGCATTTTCAAAGTGCAATCAATAGCAGTAAATTGAGCAACCGTATCTTGCAGACTCTGAGTACCAAACAAAAAAGAAAAATCAAGAGAGGGAGAGGGAGAGGGAGAGAAACCGACTCCCATAAAGATTATAGAGTTATGGATTACAATGAAATACCTGCAAAATCGTCTCAATGAAAGGAACAAGCTTTGATTTGAGTAATTTCACAACCCTCATAAACAGATAACTAGCCCTTCGACTAACATTCCCATTTGGATGGTGTATACCTCGTTCATCAAGAAAGGCAGCCAAAACCAAGGGTATATATTGGGTATTCTCCTGAACAAACTTCATATATCTTGTTATTGTCTCCAAATACACGAGTGCTACAATCCTATTAGTATGGCAAGGAAACCTAGTTGATAAGAGCATTGGCACCAGCTCTCTCATCATACCAGTACCAGTTCTCATTGCCTCGTCACTTAGTGACTCTCCATATGCATAGAAGAGGGAAAGTGCAGCTTCTATCTCCTCAACATTCCTATCAGCAGAAGATGCAACAGCATTAGCTAATGAGTTTCTAATGTAAACCTGAGTAACATCAGGTGCTACACGACCTACACTGCGAACCAATGCAAATAAATCCTTCCGGAACTCCACCATCCTATCTTCCTCTTCTCTCCCAATTCTATCCAATGCATCAATATTGTCACGGTAAACCAGGTCAAATCGAATCTGTGCTCGAATCACTTCCAATATCTGACTGACATGAAGCAGTTGTGCCTCCCTCAGTGGAGAAAGGCTCTTCATTGTGGCAAAATATCCAGAGAGAAACTGCACAATACTGAATGTCGTGTCAACCTCGCAATTCTGCATTACATAGAAAACTGAAGGCAAAACCTCATTCAAGAGCTGCATTGATACACCCTTGTCATCCTCAGAGTTTGAACGCTTAGAGCACTCTAGAACTTCCGCAGCATACCCAGCTAGCAAGGAAGCCACTTTTGAAACAAATTCAGAGTCATTCTCCTTGGCTACCAAACCAAATACCCTACTTATATTAAGGCTCTTCAAAAGGGTAAGCTTTGCTTGCGTATCCATCCGCTTAGAAACTACCGCAAGAACACAACCAGCAGCAGCACACCGGAGTTGATCTGGCAATCCAACAACCAACAGTAACTCGAATACCAGACCAATAAATGTGTCATTCACAATTAACCCAATGTCAATCCAAGTAATATATCTCCTCACACAATCCAAAACACTGGCACATAAATCAGGGTCCGAATTTCTGTACATCGATACAATGTCGTACCATGCTCTAACAATCTGAGTAATACACTGCTGCCTCATTGCATCCTTAATTCTCCCCGCAACAACCAACTCCTCAGCACTTCGGGGGTAGTCCAAGCTGATTAACTCATCGTCCAATGCATTCAAAACACGACAAAACATATCAATTACCACTGCACCTTTGCTCAGATTCGGCAGAAAATCAATAAACACGGAGGACCAAATATGCGGGTACTCAATATATATTAAATTAACCAAAACCTGAGCAAGCTTGTTCTTGATAAATGCTGGACCCTCCAAAACCCTAACTGAGCCGTTACCATCGACACCACCCTCACAACATGCCATCGAAAACAGTGTGTTCCTTATAAAAGACTTCTCTTCAGGACTCATAGATGAGTACCTAACACGAAGAATCTCGTGTAGACATTGTAAGCACCAAAACTGGACTTGAACCAGCTTAGAAAAACACAGTTTTTCAATACATATACCATAAATTGATGGAGTCTCTTTAATTTGCTGACAAAAGGCGACTGCTTGTGATTTTAATGCTGAATCCACAGTCCCCAATTCATCAAAACTTATAAGAATAGCCTTTTCTAGATCGTCCATTTTATTAAAACCCTAAAGTGCGAACCCTAAACCCTGATAAACCTCGTTCACAGAGAAATTAGAGTCTGGATAAATATAATTAAAGAATTGAAATCTGTGTACTTCTGTATGGTCTTCAGGCAAATTGGGGTGAATAAGAAAGAGGTAATGAACTCAGTATGAACAGCAAACAAATTGATTGAATGAGTATCTGTGGAGGTTTTGCTTACCTGTGACGGAGAGTTAGGAGAGAGAGGGAAAAAAAAAAAAACAAGATTGATAAAGCGACCTTTTAGTATTGGGTGGGGGTTTAGGGCCAGGTTTTCAATTACACTATTGAAGGGGCAAACACTAGGGTTGGTTTCGTCGTTGATGAAACGTGCTGGCTCTTTTTTATATGGACTAAACGGAATGACGGTGATGGTGTCTCAACCTAAGTTTTTCACGAGGAGGAAGGAGAAGAAGGCGGCCAGGTCATTGAAGAGCTCATTTTATATACATGCCAATCCCCCGTTACCATAAAACTCCTCCTTTTTTCTTTTTTCTTTTTTTTATTCTCACTTATTACTGTTTAATTCATATCTTTTTAAACAACTTGAAAAATCATAGAAAAGAAAAGGTAGCGAATATTGAAGGGATGGAAAATGAAAGGGATGATAAAAAATATTGTGTTTTAATGAATAAATAATTAGTTCATCAACACTTCGGTTTTAAATTTGTTTGTTGTTTATATATATATATATATATATATATATATATATATATAAAATGATGGAACAAGAAAGACCCGATCTTAATTTTCAAGTCATTAGAAGACTTTGCTCGTGGAATAAAAAAAACGTAATTATAATTTTGCACCCATTTCTTTAGTAATACCGTAACTTACTAAAAATGGAAAGAAAATTTAATGTTGTCATATATTCCTAGGAAATATTTGCTAATCTAAATACTTGGGAACTTGATATGCAAAATCCACTTGGGGGATTGTATCCAAGGGCATATTGTTTGAACTTTGTAATTAGATTTTCTTGTTGTGGGTGAATTTTTTTTTAAATAGCAATAGTTTGACATTTTATAAAAAAATATTATTGTTTCCGCTTTTTTCTTGTAAAGCTTCAACTTCCTTTCAACAAAAATTTTAATTTTAATCATAAGAATATATTCTCTTACAAAAGACAACTAATCATCCATGAAGTGCATAGTGATGATGCACAAAAATAGGCTTACACAAAATTAATCATGTGTGTGATGGTGTATTTAATGGGAATGCTTAATATAGCGAGAGACACAAATTAGATGGTTTTGGTCTGAGTGACCGACTACACTAGGAATAGCAATGAAGCTCGAAGAGTTTTATTAGTCAAGGTGTAATGTATTAAAATGTGTATGATGTCCCTCATGTGTAGACGGGGTTTACAATTTATAAGTGAGTAAAGCTTCATAGCACTTCAAAATAAGCCTTGATTGAGGCGCCGTTACGAGGACCCCTAATTGAAGGCATCACCCTCGTAACGAGGAGCGAGGGTGAGCCTTGATTGAGGCATCATTTACGAAGAGCCCCAATTAAAGGCATCACCCACGTAACGAGGAGCAGGGGTGATTCTGTAATGCCAGCGTAATGGGCGAGGTGGTCTTTGTGAAGCTGGTGATGCACACTCCGATGACTGCACTCCATGATTATTTTCCTAAGATGGAGATCTCCACATGCACTAGTAATAAACTGGGTCTCCCGAGATGGAAGGGTTGGCCTTTATTGGCAAGTATCTGTGATTTGGGCCTATCTCGCATCTATGATCTAGACCTAGTTTGTATCTGTGATCTAGTTTGGGCTCGTCATTTGCCCCCCCATGCCCAGAGTCCAGTAGAATTTAGGAGAAAGGGCATCAATAAGAACAATCTTCTTTTTTACCCTTCCTTCTAGACATTTTGCCGAAAACTCTTTCATTCAATAAGTAGTCGTCGTGGTTGTGTGGCGTGGGATGTGAGGCGCAATCGCAGTTTATGCTCCAAACTTTTGTTGCTTCCTCGCATCTCTCGCGTACATCTTGCCATAAAAAAATTATTCCATAGGTTGTCTTCTTGGCAACATGGTGATAGAAACATATTTGGGTTCTGATATCAACTAATGCAAGGAAGTGGGTAGAATAAGGGTGGATAATAAATGAGAGGGGATAGTTAAACTAAACCGTTGATTTGCGCACAAATACTGAATTAGAATCTTATTTAAGAGCTATTGATTTACAATTTTAAAAGTTTCAATTGATTTGTTGATTCACAAAAAATACCAAAATAATTAGGAATAAAAGAGAAGCTCTCTCAATTGTATTATTCAATCAAAAACTGTTTTGTCCTAAGGTTTTCAGGAGTTTATATAATAGCAGAAACCTTAAAATCAATTAAAAAACTAGAATCCTAATTAAATTAGGAAACATAATAAAATAAAATCTTAATTGAATCGAAAAATAAAATAAAATAAATTTTTAATTAATTTATTAAATAAAATAAAATCTCTTAAATTTTTCAAATTGAACAGCATTGACCACGTTCAAATAAAATACCAAAATTTTCGTTACCCATATTGTATCATTCTCCCAAAGTTAGAAAGAATTTGCCCTCGAATTCATTTTGAAATCTTAGTCTTTGCTTAAATTTAGGCTTTCGACCATTCTATTGAATCTAGGTTTGATATTTTGATATTTATTTGAACTTGAACTTTCGACCACCCCGATACCTATAGTTATCAAATATTTTGAATCCACCAAAAAGAAAAGTGACATCAAAGAAATCAGAGCAATTGACTTACTTTTCTGTGAGCTTGTTATGAATTGAGATCACCTTCACTACACCCACGTCACAAGCTTTTTCTTGGCATATAGTCTCACCAATTTCATCCTCCACACTAGAGAACGACACCAGTTGTCTAGTCATATCTATGAAGACTACATCCTCCACGCCCCTTATTTTTTGTCGTAGAATCTAAAAATATTCATGTTCCCGATACTCATCATATATTAAAGTGTCTCAATTTTTTTGGGCATTGTTAAGATGATCATCCACAGGATATTTGTCATACGTTGGAGATTAACCATCATCTTTTATCAGAATTAGAGAATCATCCCCCAAATCTTCATCGAATAATAGAGGTATATTCCAATCAATTTTGAGACTGTAGAGAATATGAATTGCTATAAAAAAAAATACCTATTTTGAGTGTGTGTCAAAATCTTGGATCTTCTATGGGATCTCATCCAAGTCTACTAGGCTATCTTCCCCTTCCACCAATCGTGGATTTTGAGGTCGCCACTGTAACTATTGCAGTTGTTGATGTTGTAGTTGTTGTTGAACAATGACAGTTAAAGATGATAACTGGTGAATTAACGTTCCAACCTTTTGTTGCATCCTCGCGTTCATCTTGGCATAAAAAGTTCTTTGTCGTCTTCTTGGCGATATAGTGACAGGAACGTAATTGGGCTCTCATACCAACTGATGCAGAGAAGTGAGTAGATAATGAATGAGAGAGGATAGTGAAACTAAACCATTGATTTGCGTACAAATACTAGATTAGAATCCTACTCTAAAGCTATTGATTTACAAAGAAAACTAATTATAAAAGTTTCAATTAATCTGTTGATTCACAAAGAATACCAGAATAATTGAAAATAAAAAGAAGCTCTCTCAATTATATTAATTAATCAAAAACTATTTTTCCATAAGGCTTACAAGAGTTTATATAATAGCATAAACCCTAAAACCAATTAAGAAACTAGAATCCTAATTAAATTAAGAAGCCGAATAAAATAAAATCTCTTAAATTTTTCAACTTGAATGGCATTGACCACGTTTAAATAAAATACCAAAATTTTTGTCATTCATATTGCATTAGAATCATGGAGTGCAATCGTCGAGGTGCACATCGCTAAATTTACAAGACCACCTCGCCCATTACACAGGCGTCAGGGAATCACCCTGCTCCACGTTACGAAGGTGACGCCTCAATCAAGGTTCCTTCTGAGGTGCTATGAAGCTTTACTCCGTATAAATTATAAGTCCCGCCTGTACATGGGAGATATCATATACATCTCAACACACCACACTTTGAGTAATAAAACTCTTTGGCCATTGTTGTCCCTAGTGGAGTAGATCATCCAGATTGAACCACCTAATCTGTGTCTCTTATATATCAAGCATCCACATCACATACACCATCTTATACATCACCACACTCTTGATTAATTATACATAAACTCATTTTGTGCATCGAAATCCACGACTATATAGTGGCAAACTTAGATTACTCGTCCATTTATATTGGGTTTGGCCTAGATTTAAGTATTTTTTTTTGAAGTCTCAATTGATTTTAGGAAAAAAGCAGTAAAATAGCAAAAAGAAAACAGAAATCAATATGGTGGGTTTAGGCTCATCTTGGGCTGTCCATTTACAATAAGCAACCAGAAAATGGATTGGGTTCGTTGACACCCCAAAAGCATGGTCTGGCCCAATATACACCTCTGCCTATGATATTAAGTAAATATTGAATTTAATGGTGATAATATATGAGTAATGCTGACGTGATTTGTCAAACTAATAATAAAATATTAAGTGGATAAAATAAATTTCACTTACCTAGTTATTTATTTATACGAAGAGTTTGTTATTAATTTTTGTGGGATCTATTTATTTATTTGTTTTAATATTATTGGTTAGTCAAATCATGCTAACATTGGAAGGTGGAATTAGGCCCATAATATTGGAAGGCAAAATTAGGCCCACAAGGTGGAATTCGATGCGACACCTAATGTGGGTTTGTTGGGTTGGTCAAAAAGTCCATCCTGTGAAAATCAAGGGAATGCGAAATACAAAAGCTGTCATAGTGCGAGTGACCAGTAGAATGGAGTGCGTGGCTATTCCTTCCTGTACGTTCGTGTTTTTGTAAACACTAATCCTACGCAACAAAATTGGCTATACACACACACACACGCTGCATTCTCATCTGATGTTTGATTGCACGCCTTGCTCATGCATGACTTATGATATGGGTTGGTTTTAAGTTTTAGACCATTTAAACATTTGATTTGACATGCCTCTCATCTCACGTGCATTGCAGACTGGTTCATGTATTTATTTTCGAATGTTTTTGCCAATGTTAGGCTCATATTTATATTAAATGAAGGAATTTTTTTTTTTTAAACCTAAATCAAAAGAAATTCTTTTTTTTTTAAACTCAAATTTTTAATAATGAGATTACACATTCCTGTAAAGATTCAATTGTCATATTTAACCATTTTTTAAATTTAAAATTTTCTTCATTTAAATTTAAGTTTTAAAAATTTGAACTTAACTAATTAGAGGGTAATTTTAGACGTAACAAAATTAAATATAAATGTGAACTTTCAAAATTTTGGCTTAAAAAATTTGGAGCATATCTAATATATATATATATATACACTAACCATAACCAGTGCCTGAAAGCACGACAAAAACATTAGAATCTAATGTTTAAAAAATTGATCCTACTATATTAAATTTAAAATTAATTTATTTACTTTACATCATTTAAAATTAATTTTTACCTATTATTTTCTTAAAAATAGTATCAAAATTTTCTCAAAATATATAACTTAATAAATTTTTTTCAGCATGTACACATTGTCGTGTATAAATAATGTATGAAATAAAAATTGTGTTAAATAAAATTTGTTAAAGTTCAAATTAATTAAATATTAAATGCTTGTACATGTGATAAAATTTAATGATGTGATATTTTTTAGGAGAGAAAATGTATAAGAGATAATATTTCAATTTATTAACTTATATATATATATATATAATTAGATCTATTATACTAAATGAGTAGATATTTTTGGGGCCCTCTAAAATTTAGGACCTTAGGCAAGCACCTTAGCTCCTTAGGGCTTGGGCCGGCCCTACATTTCAACAAAATGTCTTATAATTTATAAATGTGCAGTAATAACATAAACAAAAAATTTAAATCTATAAAGAATAAGCCCCATTTAAGCTTAAACAAAAAATTTCAACTTGAATAAATTTGGCTTATCAATTCCGCCCATAAAATTTAAAGTCCCTAAAATTCAATTTTTTTAAAAAAAATAAAAGAAAAAAGTTAATAGTAAAACTATAGCTACCGAAAAATCAAGTTTTAAAATCCAAAAAAAAAAAAATCAATTTCAAACTCACCATCGTAATTTTACAATCGTTCTATCCCTATCTTATTGTCAAGTTCAAATATGCTCTCCCTCTCTTACTGTCAAGTCAAATATGCTAACAAAAAACTTAAATATAAAAATTTAGAGTGTGTTTGGTAATATTTTTTTTTATGTAAAAAATAGAACTAAGTTTTTTTTTTTTTTTTTTTTTTTGCGATAAAAATTAAAAATATAAAACATGTTTGGTAGTAATTTATTTTTAAAAATTTATGAAAACAAAAATAAAAAACTTATTTGGTATTATACCAAGAATTAACTACCCAAACCCCACCGCCCAACCCTACTGACCACCTTACCCCACCACCACAACCACAACCACAACCATTGTAACTCACAATCCACCCCCATCACCGCAACCACCAAAGTTTTGGAGAAGGGTTGATGTGACTGATTGGGTGAAGTATAGGAGATGGTGGGTTTTGGCGAGAACTGAGCGTTGGATCAGCATCTGGCGTTGGCGCGCGCGCGCGCGGGCGTGTGTGTGTGTGAGTGAGTCGAGAGAGACCAGAGACCTGAAAAAAAAATTCGACTGAGTTGAGAGAGACCAGTGAGAGGTGATTTTTATACTAATGTAAAAAAAATTCATTTTTTTTTTGTTGCGAAGGAGAATGGGAGTTAGGATTTCATTAAATATGATTTTAGAACCGGGCGTTTTTTTTTTTTTGATGTTTTCAAAAACATCATTTTGAATATTTTTATATTTTAACCTTATTTTCAAAACAGAGATGTTAAAAAAAAACACAAACATTCATCAAATGTATTTTTATTTTTTTTAGTCATAAAATAAAAAAAAAAATAAAAATAGACAGTTATTAAACGACACCTTAATTAATATTTTTATATTTCAAAATTTAAAAATATTTTTAGATGAAATTCGCATCCAGCTGTGCATACGAACAAATGGATGGTCATAGGACTCACGAGTCCCATCCACAAGATCAGACCGTCAGAGCTCATCAATATAGTAAGTCTAGGCCGTCACTGCTGACCACACGTGGCGATGATGGCTGCAACTCAGAAGCCACGCGCTCGTCATACCAATCACTGTTATAGATTTTTAGCTTTGGGGAAGTCCACAGAACCCAAACAAAAACAAAAAAAAAACCCAGAAAATTAGGTGGAAATTAAAGCAGTCCTTGTAACGTATTTCTACCTAAGTTCCCTGGGAACATCTAGAAGGAGTAATAGGGAGTCTGATTCATTGAACTGGCCCGTACAATAACCAAATTGCCAATAACACCCTTTTGGACTTGGTTCAAAGGTTCAAACTACTACTCCACACTATTTTTCCTTGTCTGGCCCTCGATTGGTTGACACTCTCTCTCTCTCTCTCTCTCTCTCTCTCTCTCTCTCTCAGTTTACCGGTGTGTGCAATTGTTATGAAGAAGTGAGATTAATTGAGAATGAGAGAGAAGGGATAAAATATAAAAAAATTATGGGCAAGTATAGGTGTGTTATGGATATTTCATTGGCGGATGCCAAATTCCACCTTTTCCTTAATTAATAGTAATTAGGATTACTACCATATATATATATATATATTTAGATTGAAATTCTATCTATATAATAAAGTAGCTTACAATTTAAATTTCAAAAGATAAACAAAATGACTTTTGCTATTCGCGATTGAGATCGCTTTAAATTTACTTTAAAATTAATTTAATGGTTAATATTAACATCATAAATTTAATAGAAAAAATAGGGGCCCTAAGAATGTGTTTGGACTTTGGAGTGCCTTTTTAAAACTACTTTTAAAAATTATTTTTCATAAATAGTTTAAAAAAAAATTAGTGTGTGAAACCGTCCCACCACCACCACCACCACCATTGTTGCCGCCACCACTACCGCCATTGCGACCACCACCACCACCATCACCATCACCACCACCGTAGCCACTATTACTGTTGTCACTGTCGCCACCACCACCTCCCTGCCCCCTATCACCGTCGCCACCACCACCAATGTCATCGTTGTTGCTGCCCTCACCGCCACTGCCACCGCCACCGCCACCACCACGGTCATTGTCACCCACCACAACCATCACCGTCTCCTACTACCATCACGGTGGTCCACCACCTCTCAACCCCCACTATAAATTGATGCTTAAATTTCTTTATCTCTTATTTATGTTTGTGATTTGATTTTAGATATGATTACAAATATATTTATTGTTTACTATTTTTTATTACTCTGTGCCTTCAGGCACAAGCAATAGCTAGTACTACTATAAAAATTTAAGCAAAAAAAAAAAAACCCAATAAATTTACTTAAATAATAAATTTGCAAACTGTTGTATTACATTAAATAAAAAGATTACAATATTTTATCTAACCTATGCATTATTTTTTTTCGAAAGGTCTAACCTATGCATTTATTTACGGTGTATTCTTTACATTTTTTACTAATAATTGCATCTAATAAAAAAAATATTCGAAATTAAAATTGATGAACTCCAAACTAAGATCAATTATACAAGGAGAAAGATGAAACGAATTAGTCATACATTTGATTAAAAAGAAAAGCAAAATAATAATTATTAATAAAAAATATAAAAAAGCCATTTTTAAAGTTGTTGTTTTAAATTTCGAGGTGTCTTGGGCCGACCCTGGAGTTAGTAGCAACAATTAACCTTGGATTCTATATAGATGTTCCCTACCCCGACAATAGTAATAATAATAATAAATAAATAAAAATTTCAGTCACACCTCTTTTAATATATTATATCTTTAAAAATATTTTATCTATTATCTAAAAAAATCACTGCACCTTTTCTTGTTTATATTTAAACAGCACTGACACCCCTACCGTTAATTCACCATTTTAACAGTAAAAAAAATCATTCAAAATATTAAAATTACCCTTACATAAATATCAATCAATTTTTTTATATAAAATTTGAATCGATTAAAATTCGATTTAAGTTAATTAAATTAAATTTTATTTATTTTTTATTTATTAAAATTCGAGCCAATTTAGGCTCTACTTGAACTGTTATCGCTTATTAAAATTTGTTTCAACTTGATTTAAATTTATATATATATTTTTAAAATTCATGTCGATTAAAATTCTATTTAAGTGTTAAAATTTGAATCGATTAAAATTTATATTTTTTTATGTATCAAAACTTGGACCGATTAAAATTAATACGAGTTAATTAAAATTAAAATTTTAATTGGCTTGAATAAAATTTTAATCGCCTCAAATTTTAATAAATAAAAAAAATTAATTTTTAATCGACTTTAATTTTAATACATAAAAAATAAATTTTAATTATCTCGAGTCGAGTTTTAATCGATCCAAATTCTAATACGTAAAAAAATTTAAAAAATAAAGGAAATCTTATTGAAGATATATTTATTTAGAGTGTGAATGAAGTTTTTTCTAAAATATATATAAAAAAATTTTGTAAAATTATATTTTAATTAATACTTTTAATCTGATAGGGAATGTCAATGAAGGTTCAAAAAATAAAAAAATATTTTTGAAGATATAATAAATTAAAAAAATGTGACTAACTAAAAAAATAGATATGTAAGTCAATAAACTAATCTTCAATTTCATTATGCCAAATTTTTGGTTTTATAAGGATGGGCCAACATTGAAAAAAAAAATTAAAAGAAAAGAAAATAGGTCCACCTCTTAAGCGTACAAGACAATTTCAGTTATTTCTGGTACAGCACAAGGACATTCCCGTAATTCCACCATCCTTCGCCGGGCCGCTAAGCAAGCGAGAGAGAGAGAGAGAGAGAGAGAGAGAGAGAGAGGCGCCAGAAAACGAAAAGAAAGCAATTCTGAGGAACTCAAAGAAAACGAATAAAGAGTAAAGAAAAAAACTCCCTCTTTTTTCTCCCCTGCAAAATTCAAAGCGTCTTCGACTATCCTTCCTTCGAAATCAAGGGTTAGCGTTTGTAAATTTGCTTCGATTTCCCTTTCTCGGGAGCCTCTCTCTCTCTCTCTGGACTTGTTACACATCAAAATCAGTACCATAGCACTCACAACTCTCTAAAATTCTTTATTTGTATCTTGTGATTCTTTCATTTCTACTTCTCAGACATCCTAGCTTCGAATTGGCAATTTATTCTATATAAAAAAAAAATCAGAATCAAGGGTTTTACTCATTCAACAGATATTTATATAGCTGAGATCTGAGGCACTTTTGTGCATCATGGCGGTTCCAACGATAGCGTTGTATGCGAGTCCCCCGAGTAGTGTGTGTTCAGCGCCGCATCCATGTCAGATCAATTCACACGCATCTTACGACTTTGATTTGAACGGTAGATCTACACCCTCCTCGTCATCGACCACTTCGCCATCTCAGAAACCTCTTGTCGGTGGCCTCTCCTGCCTATTCTCATCGCCGTCGGTGAAACATTCTTCATCGTCCAGCTATTCGGGTGGGAGTGAAGAATTAGGGTCGTTGTGGCACGATAGAAGCGAAGAGTTGACTACTTCTTTTTGGTACTCCTCGTTCAATTCGTCTTTAAAACGAGATCAGAGCCCCGTATCGGTGTTTCAGGGCCCGGTTACCTGCAGTAGCAGTGTAGCTAGTTCACCTTCGAGAACTCCACCTCTGAGATTTGCACGCGAAAGGGATTGTGGAGATGTAAATGTGAATTTTCACGGTTCAATTAGGGCGGGAACAAATGGATTGTTTCAGGGGTTCGTAAGGCATGCGATGGGTTCGTGCGTCGATTATGATTCGCCTAGTTTTCAAGTGCACGATGTGGAGTCGTCTTCTGGTTTGGTGGATGAACTCACGTTTCATATGGAGGATACTTTTATGGAGTTGAATTCGGAACCGTATGTTAAAGATTTGCTTTTGGGTGCACAATTGAGACACAAGATATTTTGTGATGATTGTGTTATTAAGGCTTTTTACGAGGCTGAGAAAGCTCATAGAGGGCAGGTACCCTTATTTCTTGAATTCCTTTTCTGAATAATTTTAATTTTGGATTTGCCTTATTGTATTGAAAAGTTGTCTTTCAATTTGTAGATGCGAGCAAGTGGGCATCCATACTTACAGCATTGTGTGGAAACTGCGGTGTTGCTCGCAACAATTGGTGCTAGCACCACAGTAGTTGCTGCAGGGCTTTTACATGACGCGCTTGATGATTCTTTTATGAGTTATGACCATATTTTCCGGACATTTGGTGCTGCTGTTGCTGATTTGGTGGAAGGGGTATGAAGCATCCATTTTATATATGACAAGTCATTTGAATGGTTAAGTTAGTGTGTGATCTTTCTAGTTTAGATTTGGTATCTGCTATGGTTGTCGATTGATGATTGTATTTGACATGTGCTTTTGGTTTTTTTTTTTTTTTTTTTTTTTTGGGGGGGGGGTGGTGGTGTTTATGCAATGGTTGTCGAAACAACATAGAGAAATGTTGCTTTCTTTTGCCCAGAAAATTGTGTTGATGCTCATGCTTTTAACCATCATGATTTTGTAAACATTGCTTTCTGTTATCTGAGTCATTAATAGATTATGGACAAGTCATATGCTTAGATGTCATTCAATAAGATGATTTCTGAACATATGTGCCTTTATTGTATTGGCTTATATTCTAGCTTATAAACCTTTGCATTGCATAAGATTTTCCACTTTCATTGTGTCACAGGGTGTTTTATGTCGGGGTGATGCAAAGGATGCCTTAAATAGTTTTCCTATTTTCTTTCCTGTTACCGCTATGTTGTGTCTTCTGTGGAAATCTGAGTAAAGCTTGTCTCTAGTTTCATTGCTTTTCCTGGTCTCTTGGTTTTCTTTATCTTTTTATGCAGTCCATCATTTGTGGGATGCTTTATAGGAGTCCAATAAATGGTGGCATCTATGACAGTGAAGTTTCTATTTTTTGTTGGGTTGTAATAGGTGTCGAAGCTGAGTCATTTGAGCAAGCTTGCACGTGATAACAATACAGCGAGTAAGACTGTTGAGGCAGATCGACTCCATACAATGTTCCTTGCAATGGCAGATGCCAGGGCTGTTCTCATAAAACTGGCTGATCGATTGCATAATATGATGACATTAGATGCATTACCTTTGATCAAGCAACAGAGATTTGCTAAGGAAACTTTGGAGATATTCGCTCCCCTAGCCAATCGTTTAGGAATCTGTAGTTGGAAAGAGCAACTAGAAAATCTCTGTTTTAAACATCTCAATCCAGATCAGCACAAAGAACTGTCCTCCAAACTTCTGAAGTCTTTCGATGAAGCCATGATTACCTCTTCTGTAGAGAAATTGGAGCAAGCTCTTAAGGATGGAGCCGTAACTTACCATGTTCTATCAGGGCGGCACAAGAGCTTGTATAGCATCTACTGCAAAATGCTGAAGTATGCTCTCTCTCTCTCTCTCTCCCCCTATTGAACATATGGACGTCTTAAAAGGATAACTGTTGCCATGCAAATGTATACGAATACGGGATATAACATGATTTGAATGATTTCAGTTGGGAGTTTGGGTTACTCCAATTATGGAGCCTCTCAATTAATTGGAGCCAACCCAAACTCATTAGATGGAGCAACATTATTAGTGACAGAACTAGCCTGTCATGGTTGTGTGGTCTCTATAAGGTCTTAACAAACTCTTTGATATATATGATTCGTCTATTGGGTGGTGTGGTACCTATGTAGTTAATTTTATGTTAAAGAGTTGGTGGTATCTAAATTTTGTGTAGGAAGAAGCTGACCATGGATGAAATTCATGATATTCATGGGTTGCGATTGATCGTTGAAAATGAGGAAGACTGTTATGAAGCACTGAGAATAGTTCATAACGTATGGTCGGAAGTGCCTGGGAAGTTCAAGGACTACATAAATCATCCCAAGTTTAATGGGTATGTCATATATCAAAGTGATGGTGTATCAGTATATGCATCATTGGTTCTACTCTAAATATGGTATATCAGTTTATACATCATTAGTTTTACTCTAAATTAAAACTTAATTTGTAGGTATCAATCTCTACACACAGTGGTGATGGGTGAGGGCATGGTTCCACTTGAAGTTCAGATTCGAACAAAGGAGATGCATTTACAAGCTGAGTATGGATTTGCAGCTCATTGGAGATACAAGGAAGGAGATTGTAAGCACTCTTCCTTTGTGCTGCAGATGGTTGAGTGGGCACGTTGGGTTGTCACCTGGCAGTGTGAGACAATGAGCGAAGACCGTTCATCCATTTGCCATGTTGACTCCATGAGGCCACCATGCACATTCCCTTCTCATTCTGAAGATTGCCCTTATTTGTGTAAACCTCACTTTGGGCCTGAGGGACCTGTCTTTGTCATCATGATCGAAAATGATAAGGTTTGTTCTGGATTTCTTGTGATTTGTATTTTCTTTTCCTTTAATGTAAAATGGTACGGGAGTGTTTAGAAGGAGAAGTTGATGACTCTAGGTAATTCACTTGGAACCTATTGGGCTCTTACTATATATATGGTCGTTTGATGCTAGAGTGGTGAACTTTCCACTCAGACTTGTTACTTTGAGCAGACTGTATACTTCCAAGCATACTTTGGGGCTTCTTTCAGTTTTTTTTTTTTTGAACATGATGGTCCTTTTAGTTTGGTGTAACAATTTATTGCATGATTTGGGTCAGGTCCACTAATACTGACTAGACGTTGGGTGTCGCAGATGTCAGTACAGGAAATCCAAGCAAACTCAACCGTGATGGACCTGCTGGAAAGAGGTGGTCGGGGAAGCTCTAGATGGACTCCATATGGGTTTCCGGTTAAGGAGGAGCTGAGGCCAAGGCTGAACCATGTGCCTGTTAGTGATCCCACCTGCAAGCTAAAAATGGGTGATGTGCTGGAATTAACTCCAGCCATACCGGACAAGTCATTGACGGAGTACAGGGAGGAGATTCAGCGTATGTATGATCGAGGTCTTACTGTATCAGGCACAATGCCTGCTGCCAGTGGCACAGTTGGGTGGAGAAGCTGACCCTTGGTTGTTTTCTTGCCTTTGTAGTATATTAAGTGGCAATTAGTTATTCTTGTATATAAATGATAAATGTATGTACCGACAGCTTTTGGTTTCCGTTTATGAAATATGACTAACTGCATTCGACCAAGGGCAAAACTTTCTATTCTCCTTGTTGAATTGGTACAATGCTAACATTTGTTTTTGTGTATCAAGTTTGAAGTTTTTGGGAACCTCGGATACTTTGGTTACACGAGTCTTTGGTATAAACGGCAAAAAAAATTCAAACTGAAGAAGCCATTACTTAGGAAAATCAGGTATAGCTCTACTACCGCAGTAGGTTTTCAGTCGTATTTTCATGTACCTGGAGTTGCTCAAAATTTATGAAACTATATTGTAAAATTTTCATGCAGAAGCACCAATGCCTTTAATAAGGACCAAGCTGTATAAAATGAACTAATTGATCAGTTTCTTAAGGCTATCTATCTATCTGTCTTTCTCTATGGTAATCCTTTTGAAACTATGTTTTTGGTTGACGAATGAATTTCATTAATAGGGAAAACGAACCACTTAAAAGGCTTGAAAGCTAGCTCACAAGTCAGGAGGGAAAATGCACATAACCAGCGTTTCTGACTGTCTAATTTCTAAACAAAATTGATTAGAAAATGTCCACCTCGCTTTACCTTTGCATCAATTCAGACTAAAAATTTGTGATAGGTGGTCTATATTTTGGGGATCCAATTGGAACATAAGGTTAGGCTGGAGGCTGGACTAATACCCTATTCTGCGCAAATAGACATGAAAACTAGCTTACTTCCTAATCTTTTGGACCCTGTAAATGTGTAGTCTCACCTTCGCCACCATCTCCGCTACATTCACCATCTAAATCGAGTTACACCATTAATAACATGTAACCATCCGTACATACATGCGTCAGTATATGTTGCAACAGATGGGTTAAAGTATGATCCCATGCGTCTAGCTAGGATGTGTGTGTGTGTGTGTGCGAGACAGAGGAGAATGGACAAGGGATGAACTCATAGACAGGTAATAATTAAAGACATTAACACTCCTTGTTGTTAAGTATGAACACAAATAAAGACATCCATAGATACCTTACTTCCCAAGCCTAAACATCACCTTTCTTGTTCATCTTTTCCTCCTTTTCAACAAGTTTTGTCCAATAATAATAATTATTATTTACCCTATATATCCACCTCTCTTTTGCTTTTTGGACGGCTGCCAGTCACTTTTGTCATCCAACCCCAAGCTTTCCACCTATATTCCTTTACCAAACTTACCTTTCTTCCTTGTATAAATTTATTAATTCCCCTCCCACACCATGCTTCACCATATCAAGTTGGTTTTTTCCTCGCAAAAACAAACCAACCTCTGATACCTTATTTCTTAAGATTCCCACAATGGCGGCGACCTACGGTGGTTTTACAACCCAAAACTCTTCCCAGAGAGCTGTAGCCATGGTGCTAGCCCTGGTTTCTGCAGTAGTGCTTTCTCCATTGTACGCGAACCGGAAAAATGATTACCGTCACGATGCAAGTTGGAGCTCTGGCTTTGTTCTACCTATGGTTCTTGCGGGGTTAATAGTTGCCATCAAAACCACTTCATCAATGCCAATGCAGAGAGGGAGCAGCAGAGCTACATTGTTTCCATCTGCAGACCCATCTTGGGTGCTTAGAATTGGGGGTTCGTCTTGGGGACTCGCTGGAATTTTGATCATGCTCATGCTTGTGCTGTCATGGCAAGATTCAGTTCAACACTTCTTCTGGAGATAGACAACTAATTCAACCATCTATTACCTTTTTTCTTCTATTGTCCTATCCTATCATGGTATTATTGTTAGTTTAATAATGTAGTAAGTTGTGGAAGTAAATGAAGTTTGATATTATGATTTACATCCACAGTTGCCCAAGGAGAATTGTGCCCCACCGGATTTCAAATCTGCCAAATCCAAATTCACATCCATGTTTCCAAATGCAAACTGAGATACTTCTAGGCAGAAAAAATATATTTCAGTTCCATTCATATTATCGATCGATCCAAATTCCTTGAGGTTGAGTATATTGAATTTTGGGTTGATCATCATTGGCCAAGTTTAAGATCGAGTCGAATTAGATTACTGACCTCAAATTCTTGGTCAAACTAAACTCAATTAATCGGCAACAACTTCCTAAATAACAATTTCATTAAAAAAAGCCCTAAAAAACTATGAATCGAGTATAAAATCAAATGTTAGATGTTCAAACATTTTAAAAAACAATTATTAGAGAAAAGGATTTTGATGTTGAGCTATTTATGGATAAGATTAAATTTATTCAACTTTTGAAAAGAAGGTTTGTGACCGTAAAATTAGAATTATTTAAAGACTGAATTATCTCTAAAATGAGCTGAGCCTATTATTTGTACCTAGCCGCAAGTTATTTGGAATTGGATTTGGCTTGTTTATTCATTTATAATTGAAAATTATGTTATTTTCTACAATTTTTTTAATAATTTGAACAAGCAAAATTTAGCTAAATTTGAATGGAGCTACACAATTTGCATCGTTGAAAGGGTCACGGGGATTAGGACACTACCATGAGTAGGGGGAGGAGACTCGTAGACTCGAACAAATGTCTGACTCGTATTGACCAACCAGTTCACTCGTATAACTAGAAAACGTGCTTAAAATCGAAAAACTCACCGAACCGAAGTGAAAGGACATGGAGGATGAGAAGTGGGAGCCTCACGAAAGCAGACGAAACACACCAAAAACGGAGAATTCACTATAAAATCTGGAAACAAGAGTTTTTCCTAAATAAAAAGAGGTTCAATCTTTTTCCAAACAAATGGCTAACAAAGCAAAAATAATGAAGTAGTGGGCTTTAGCGGCTTCTTAACTAACCCATATGAACTCGGCCCAAATACGCTGCAGAAAATACCTTAGCAATGTGCATGCAATTCTTTAGGAAAGTTTGTTGTTCATCTCCTCTCCTGTGTTTGTGTACTGTAAACCCTCATCTCATTCTCAGCTCCCAACCTTTTATATATCATCCGGTAAGCATAGTTATTTTATGGTTACCCTCTTTCTATTTTTTTTTTTTTTTTTTGGGGGGGGGGGGGGGGGTGTTCCTGTTCTAGCTTTATCTCATCATAGCATTGGAGTTGTAATTTAATTCTGTTGATTGTGTCTTCATTACGTTCCTTTGATGGATGGGAATGAAACAGTAGTAGTTCCGTTAGCCTTGGATTGTTCAGCTTTTGATTTCTTTGCTTCAAACTACGGTTATGGTTTTCTATTCGACATGCTCTTATTGAACCAATAGTTTTACCTAAATTTGTATCTATGAGTTGCACCTACGTAATCGAACAGGAATCAAGGAACGCTGTGTCAAAAATTGCATCATTAGCTTGAATTTTGCAATATTACTCTACTTCCATTGATGGTCGCCTAAACAACGGTAAATTTTGGCTTGTTCTGTGGCTCAAATTATTGTAAACAGGGAACGGTAATCTTTGAGGCTTAAATTAGGGCAAGATATGAGAAATTTTGGGTTTTCCAGTATATTGTGAGCAGTATCTATCAACAGATTTTTTGGGTTTGTTTGAATGTTTAAAAAGACATGCTTGATATCTTGTTGAAGGGAATGGATAAAATTGATGAATTAGGTATGTATTTTCAGGGCTTTTAGAGTCATGGACTACTATTATGACCCATGTCCACAAATCCTTGAAATTCAAAATACTCACGCAAAATATAATCCATCATATTACACAATGACCAGCATCATTCAAATCTGAAAACTTAGATTAAATAATACACTAAGAAACTTAGACAATTAAATAGGGTTTCAAAGTTAACTTCCTTAAAGACAATACAAATTTCAAAGTTCCTCTCTTCCTTGAGATTTCTAAATCTCGAGCTTCTTAGGCTGCTTCAGGCGTCCATACCCTGTGGAATTGGCATCTAAGTCAATTTTTGCATAAAATTAGGGGGGTTTATTTATGAGTTCTAAAAAGCAGAGTAAGCTGTTGATGCTGAACCACCAGTATTTGTAGATTTTTTTGCCAAATAATTCTGTCCAACTCTCCCTGTGCAAACATGCATGTATTTTGGTTTTGGAAAGGAGGGGGGGGGGGGGGGGGGTCTCTCAGGCACAACTAGAGTTGGCTAGGAACTGGAACAAAATCTCATTGCCAAAATCAATAACTGGGCTCCGTACAGGATACCTTGATCAGGCCAACTACCAACGTGCAATTGTTAAACAAACTAGCCAACCAGCAGTAGGAACTGAGGAGGATGAAGAGGGTGTTGACCCTAATCCAAAGCCTTCCTCAGAAGAGAGGACATATGCAGCACAATACTCCTGAACAAGTATCCTTTTGGAGATAAGGGGAAAGTCCAGGTAATTTGCAGGTTTTATGGTGACTTGATAGTAAACTCGTGTGAAAAATCTGACCAAATTTGATTACTCAAATTGTAATTAGGGTAGTACCACAGGAAAACAAATATGTAACTGATGCAGAAAAGAGTTGCTCTCTGTGTCCAACTTAACTTTCAAAGGATGCCAAACACAATCAAGCAGGTTAAAAGAACATAAGAATGGCTTGTAACCTTCGCAGCTCAAAGTTCTCATTAAATTTACACAGAAAAAAGTAAATTGAATTATTGTTTTACCTGCCATTTGGTACTGTGTTTATCTTCCATAGCGAACAAAATGAAACAGGCTGCCCTTTCCACCACAATCCCACACAACCATCTCTCTCTTCCACTCTCATCTCCCAATTACTATCATACTTCCTCAACAATGCTCGAGCTCCGTCAATGGTGTCCTCTACAAACATCCTCCCAACAAAGCCAACAACTCTCATTTTCTCACACCACTTCTCTTTCGTTTCATTCATCTCCCCTATGTTTATCAATGCCTTTGCAGCCTCTCCTTCCATCATCCTCCTTTCTTCACTCTCACGCCCTTTAAATGCTGCACTGGTTGAATCCAAGAACCTCCATAAGTACTCCACTCTCCTTGAGAATCCTGTTTCATAGTCTCCACAGTTGTTGCAACTACAATCCATGTTGTTCTCACACAAAATCACCCCTTTTGGCTCCAAACTCCTCAATACTTTTAAGAACTCTGTTCTGGTATCTGGGGTGTGGTGATTTAGATTGTGGAGTCTAAACTGGGCACAAATAATTAAGGTTTCTTCAGGGGAGGAGTTAATGGCTTGAGCATTCAAATTCTGTAATGGGAGGTTATCAAGTCTATTAATCTGTAGATTGATGTGCATGGCCTTAGCAAAGCCAAGGAGCTGCGAGGAATAATTATGACCTGGTGGACCATTTGCAAATGGTGTATCCCCAGTTTGATTATTGTCAGGGGTGGGAGTAACAACAGTAAGACGGACCAGTGGAGGCGGCCCACCTGATCGGCGTGTCAGTTCCTCCAGGAGTGTTGGCCACTGAACACCGTGAGAGACTCCAATATCAAGGATGTGAAGGTTTTGCGGGCGATCTTCTTCTGTGAGTATTTGGAGAATCGAGGAGTTCACGATGTTATTAGGGATGCGAAACCATGGATTAATGTCGTTGAAATCGATCAGAGTTTTCTGGAAAAATTTTGGTCCAACAGAAGCAAAACTAAGAGCCCCTGCTGAAACAGTGGAGAAGCCGGAGGATAGGTGGTGCTTTAGTGCTCGGAGGCCATAAGTGGCAAGTCGGTGGTTGGCGTCACCAGTGGAGGAGGCAAGGTCATGGAGAACGTACAGGAGGTGTTGAACCCGCATCAAATTTCCTGCAGTGATGGCTGCAGCACATGGGTTGAGCAATTGCTCTGCCCACCTTCCTTCTTTGTTATTACCGTTATTACAGTTACTTCCTGCTGCCTTGGATGTTGCCCTTTTGGTTCCAGCTGATTTCCTAACTGTCACTCCTTGTTCGCCGATTCCATCGCCCTCATTGATCCGACGATTCTGAATCTTTCGGTGGTTCTGGGAACCCTTGGAAACCAAATCATCAGATACTTTGCGTTTCTTGGATGAATCAGATAGTGGTGGATGATTACTACTGACGGGATCAGTTGGTGGTGTGCTAGTGGCACTGGTAATGGTGGAGTTGCTGTTTAAAGAGGTAGAACTGTTATTGATTAGTTCTTGGTCTAGATCTTGACCTTCAACCCACCATGAATCTCCGTTGATGTCTCCAGAGTAGTATGGATCATCAAAGAATGATGGAAGGTGTAATATGGAACCTTCTAACCATTCTAAGATGTGATCTGACGTGGGGTTTGGTTCTGGTGCTTCAATGGTCATTGTGTCAGAGAGCGTGTGTGTGTGTGTAATAGAGAGGGAGAATGGGAGGGTAAGGTATGCTGCTTGATCATTGACCAAGAGGAAAGATAAGGGAGGAGGGAGAATGATATGGTCTATGGTGTGAACTGTGTTTTGAGATTGTTAAGATAATGAATGCAGCAGTGGCATTTTTCAGTAGAGACGGTGAAGAGGATATTCAAGGCGTTGGTGTGCTGTATTTTGGAAGATGTGATGTCTTGTTAAGGTTTTTAAATGTTATGGAAGTCTACCAGAAGTCTTTTATTTGTTCTAGGCATTAACTTATTCTCCTGTATTGTCATGGTTGTTGAGATCAACGAGGATTGGAGACAGGAAGTTTATCAAGAGACGGCAAAATTGTTTTCATTTGATAAAAAATGAGAGGTCTGTTATCTCAGATTGCCTTCTCTTGTGCCATTGGCTAATGGTGGTTGGCTTCTTCGCACGACAAAATTGACCTGCAAACAACCCGATTGTCGTTGCCAAATTATAATCCTACATTGATATATATATTTTAAGATCACCTTGATCCCGTGAATGAGATGAGGTAAGCTATTGATACCACATTTAAATTTCTGAGAAACATCTCAAGCTTCCCTTTCAGAACAAATGTGGATGTTGGGGTTCAAGTTCCATATCCTATAATGAGGAGGACTGCAACAATTCAGCATTCTTGGATCTTGATGTAGTAGTAACAAAGCGTATGTATCACTGATATTTGATTACTTTACAGATGAATTTAGACCAGCTTCTTGATACTTGCATGTTGAGATCCTAGCGTTGTAACTGAAGGGGTGGCAAAAGATGAACTCTCTGCCGGCCAGTGAGGTCAAGTACCCAAGAATCTTTATACAAAGAATCGTTAATATCATTACCTAAAACATAATAAAATAAAAAAGCAGCAGGGCCACTTGTTCACCTAATACGTTTATTTTTGGAAATCGACCAAGAAACTGAGCTACCAACTGAGTTTGTATTAATGTTTAATATTATGAAAGATTTGGCGTCTACCCTTTATAGCGGGTACAAATTAGGCTCCTGTGGACCAACTGCTATTCTCAGCAAAAGCTTTAGGTACGTACAACACTGAATAAACGACCAATTGTTTACCTTAACATGCAAGGTGGTCTCAATTATGATATTCTCTTTGATAAATGCATCCATTTAACCGAGATATGATTTTTATTATTATTTTTTTCACATTCATATATATTTGAAGGCACAATTCAACTTCTGCAAGGTTTGTTAAAGTTTGGATTTAGTGAATTAGAACAAAAAAGAAAAGATAAGAAAAAATGGGGTTGTGTTAACTAATCAATGCCTTACTAGTAGCCATAAGTAATCATACTAGGTTATCAGGAGTAAATATTGGTGAAGAATAGACAAAATCGCACTTTACAATTATTCTACGATGGAAAACCAAACATCATTGGAATCGAGCATGCCTTTGAAGATCAGAACAACTATACATTAGTACAAAGAACCTGGTTACAGAGGAACAACCAAGAAAACAGACAAAAGAATGGAGGTAGAACAAGAAATAGCTTAGGGGGACTGGCTAAAACTAGCAGCGCGCTTCGGGTTAGGTCATGCTTAGCCGGTGCCACCAAGAACAGCCTTGAGCTTCTTCACTTGAGCCAAATCCAGGAATGTTGTCTTCACCACCAATTTAGAAGGCAAGTTGTTAGCAAACAATGCAAAATCGGTGATTTGGAGGCCAGGACTTGGGCTACTGAAGCTTACAAAAGCAATGGCCGGTATACCACCTGCATTTATCTGAAAATGCAACAACCCTTGAGGGAACACCATTATATCACCCTTCTTCAGTGTCTTCACGTAAACACCGTTAGCTGAAGAAATGAAACCAGCAAGGATAGAACCCTGCACGACAACTAGAACTTCAGATGCACCAGGGTGGGTGTGCATTGGTACGACACCATCTGGGGCTAGGTCCAACCGTGCCATGGAGATTCCAAGGCCGTTCACACCAGGAAATTGAGCTACAAATGCAGGAGTCACAGCAGCTTTGATGATGTTTGTAGTGTTTCCAGCAATGCCTAGTCCTGAAAACACGAAGTCATCGATTGCAACTTTAGCAGGATTCTTGCAAGAGTAACCTGCAGGGCTTTCTGGGCCATTTAGGTTTGCAACGCAAAAGTCTTGAACAGCTGCATGAGAGGAGAAGAACAGAAAAGAAACATAGAAGAAAATATGAATCATTTTTAATATCCTGGATTTGGATTGATGAATGTGGTTTCTTTCGACCGCAGGGTCTTATATATAGAATAGAGAGCTCAGCTGGTACAACAATGGCCCATGGTGCCACTTGAATTTGGGAGACGAGCAATGACAGCCACAAGGGTTGTGCTTTGAAGGAAGATGGCTACTGGTAAGTTGATGAGCACCTTTTGAAATTTAAAGGGACAAAAACGCAGAATACTTCTTTTTTTTTTCGTGGCTGGAGGAGCCATTAGTGTTTGGACTTTTTGACATCTAATTAAGGAGGACAAGCGCTGCCAGCACACCTCTGCACAAGTGGATGAAAAGATTGGGAAAAAGCTGTGGTTAATTATGAAAACAACTTGTTCATTTATAGTGGAGATGGAAACATATTTGTGTAACATACATTCATCAATGAATAAATCCATCCGGATGTAGCTAGATTAATTCATTGTCATCCCTCTCCATCACCACAATTCCAATTCCATATTGGTGCGTAATATATTTACTAATTGATGGTGTATGTCGCACATAGAACAGAGCTTATGATCTTTAGGAATTAGTGGGTTCCTGAATGACTGAGCCGGAGCTCCTAAGCTTTTAGGAATTGAACAAAGGAAATGGGGAGCTCGGCTAATTCACTGTCAAGGGAGTCTTGGGGATTTATTGATAAAAGAGGGATTTACATAGAGTAATGCTTAAGTTAATTGTCTGTCTGTCATTGTAAGGAACATGCCGCTTATTTACAATCTTCTAAGACCTTGCTTGATCCTTGGCGTGATCCTTGCCTTCTTCTTGTAACGGTTGCGCCTTTCATGTGATTGTCATGGACATTGTTGAGACGGTTACAATTTTCTTACCCAAATATAAGACCGTTACGATTTATGTGTGGTGTTTAGGTGAAAGCCAACTGTCATCCTTGCTATTCTTGTGGGCGTATAGTTGTTGGGGAAGAGGTGCCGACCCGAACTCCTTTGGATATTCGTGATCCGAACTTGAAAGATCCGAGCTGATTGACCGAACTCAACCTCAAGCATCATTTAGGTATCATCAATCATGAAACATGTATTGTGATTAATTGAAACATAAATAAATATTGCTGTCATATTGCTGTTAGAGAATGCAAAGTCTTTATCCTTGATTTAGGGGCACCGAATTTTGGCAAGGGTCATGAAAGAGATTAGAAGAGAAGTGGTCCAAAGAACACATGGGAATAGAACAAGGAAGCACGTAAGAAGGCAGTTGGACAGGGAGAAAGCGAAAAGGTATCTCTATCTATGAAATTCTTTCTTGCTGTCATCAAATAAAATGAATGGCATTGCAATTTCCAATCCTTGTGAGGAACGAGTGGATTCTAGGAATTGCCTTCCTGCATGGGTTTGTATCCACAGGAAGAGCAGGGTCCCCCATCAATATATCTATATCTATACTATAAAATGTCAAAATACATGAAAATTTTTATTTGGACACTTTAGCCTCCAAAATTTTGAAAATGTCAAGATTATCATTGGAATTGAAATACCAAACACTTGTGATGTTGATGATATTAAATTGTCATTAAATATTTTACAATGATAGTGATTAGTTTATCCCTAATTTAAGAATAATTATATGTGCACTAAATTTGTGCACCAAAACTTATACTAAATCAACTGTAGTTTTTAGATCACTGATAGGACTCACTAATCAAACGACAAGTGATTTGGGTGCAAGTTTTGGTGCATACAGGATTGCTATTACCAAATCTCACAACCGGATATTATATGGAGAAGGCCAACCCCTTTATCTATCTCTCTTTCTCCCCTCCATTAATGGTAATATTAATTAATATTTCACTCTCCATTATGCATCCTTCATGTCTCTCTCTCTCTCTCTCTCTCTCTCTCTCTCCAATCGAATAGCCAGTTTTTTGTGGCTCAACAAATTCTTAAAGAATTTTTTTTTTTGCAATGAATGTTAATATAAATTAGAAGTTGGATCATGCCATGCCTTTCCCATCCCCATTCCCATTCCTAACCGTTTCACGTACTATTGTACACAAATCTGAAAACGTGATTCACCAATTGAAACGTTTCTGACCCCTCTCTCTCTTTGCATTACGAAAGCTTGAATATGTACTGTTTCTCTCATTGCTTAAACTGCATATATGTTCTACATATGCTTGCTTTGAACTTTTGCATTTTCTTTCAGCGTTAGAATCCTGTTGTTTGATTATAAGTTTCTATGAAATTCTTGTACTAACAAAAGCGGAATATGTACCAATTCCATGTCAATTGTGTAGCCTCTAAAGAAATCCCAATTCTTGAACCTGCAAGATAGTAGATTTACAATTTTTTCGAACTCCGTGATATTTTGTTTTTAGGACAAGCATAATTTTTTATGGAGAATTTCAAATAATTTACTCTATCGCAAATTGACATAACTACATAGACAACATACACCACTTCTTTACTATTAAAGTTAATTTTTTTTTATTAAGTACGAATTCAGAGGAATTTTATTTTACTTTCTCAAATGTGACCGAACAATTATGTCAGTAGATTACATAATGGTGCATTATTCTTTTGTATTTTCTTTAATTTTGTTGTGATATCAAGTATGGGTAGAGGTGTTCACCTTACCATACGCGTAAGAAATACAGTCTTTCGTTTTTTTACCCGATATTTTGCGGAAGAATTTTTTCTTACCCTACTCGATCAGGTGTGGTATTCCTACCCGACTTCTTACCCGATTAATCGGGGTAGGAAGTCGGGTAAACACTTTTGTACCTATTAATTTTTAGATTATTTTAACAATTCAATTAAATAACATGCACCAATTTAACAACACAATAAATTAATAACATTAAAACCTAAAACAACTACAACAACAATTATAATAAAACACAAGAAAGCATTAACATCAATCTATCATAATTGTTATACAAATACAATAACAATTATTTTAAGTTTAAACTATATGAAACACATTAAAATCATATCTGTTCCAATAGATCATTAGCTCACCACAAATCATGTAACCTATATAAAAAAATAAGTCCATGTTTTAGCAACTCAAACATCCATAACAATGATAATATTATAATATACATTATACCACACAAATACTGTTATAATTATTAAAAAAAATATACAAAAGTTAAATATATATTTTGCGGGTAGGGTAATGTAGGAATGCGAAAATTGATGGGTATTCCGTATTCCTATCCGATTTAATCGAAAGACCAAAAATTCTTTTGCATTTCTACCTAATTTTTGCGACTAACTGTTCAGTAAAATAAGAAATTACGGCCAATCGAAAATTTGAACACCCTTAAGTATGGGCTATGCATTTAAGTATTGACCTTGAGTGAAGTATAATAACTCTTGGCTATCACATTGTGTACGAGGTAAAGAATTGTCTTTGAGAAATTTGAGTTTTGGAGAGCCTTTGTAAATAAAAAGATACTTCTCAATTCCTAGATTTGTTAAAAAATTAAACAACAGTAAGACGAATCAGTGGAGGTGGCCCACCTTATCGGCGTGTCAATTGCTCCAGGAGTGTTGGCCACTGAACACCGTGAGAGACTCTAATATCAAGGATGTGAAGGTTTTGCGGGCTATCTTCTTCTGCGAGTATTTGGAGAATCGAGGAGTTCACGATGTTATTAGGGATGCGAATCCATGGATTAATGTCGTTGAAATCGATCAGAGTTTTCTGGAAAAATTTTGGTCCAACGGAAGCAAAACTAAGAGCCTTTGCTGAAACAGTGGAGGAGCCGGAGGATAGGTAGTGCTTTAGTGCTAGGAGGCCAGAAGCGGCAAGTCAGTGGTTGGCATCGCCAGTGGAGGAGGCTAGGTCATGTAGACCGTACATGAGGTGTTGAACCCGCATCCAATTTCATGCAGTGATGGCTGCAGCACATGGGTTGAGCAATTGCTCTGCCCACTTCCTTCTTTGTTATTACCATTATTACAGTTACTTCCTGCTGACTTGGATGTTGCCCTTTTGGTTCCAGCTGATTTCCTAAGTGTTACTACTTGTTCGCCGATTCCATCACCCTCATTGATCCGACGATTCTGAATCTTTCGGTGGTTCTGGGAAGCCTTGGAAACCAAATCATCAGATGCCTTGCGTTTCTTGGATGAATCAGATGGTGGTGGATGATTACTACTGATTGGATCAGTTGGTGGTGTATTAGTGGCACTGGTAACGGTGGAGTTGCTGTTTAAAGATGCGACGACCGTGATGAGTCAGGTCTCGTGAGTTGTACTAGGTAGAGTAAGGTCTCAAACATGTTTTAAGGTTATAACTGTGTTAAAGGAAATTTTTTAAGAAAATATTTAGCAATAATAGGCTAATCAAATCGTGCAAATCGAAAAGATCACAACAAGTGAGGTTATTGTGCGAATTCGATCGATTAGGGGTTTGAGGATCGGTGGGTGGAATTCAAATTGGTGCGTGTGGGTATCGGAGGACTTAATTGGTTTTTTTGGATCATTAAATTAAGGAAGAATTACACCTAGACCCTCTGATATTTAAAATATTACACACAAATCCCCTGAAATTTATACACGCGTAATAATTAGATTTTTGCTATAAATATATCAGTTAATAAATTACATTCAGACCCCTTAAAGTTTTGTAAACATATATTATTTAGAACTTTTAAGTTTAAAATATTATTTGTCCAAAAATATTTCAATCAAATATAAAATATTTTAAATTTTACAATTAAAATTCATGTTTTATTGTATCGTTTATTGAAATAAAATCAAAAATAAAAATTCAATTTTTTTTTTGAAAAAAATCGTAATTAATATATAATTATATTGTCTATTAGAATTTAATTTGGTCGTTTAAACGATCAAATTAAAATACCACACTACTCCAATTAAAAGTTAAAAAATATTGTGTCTATTACAATTTGACTCCTTGTTTAATTTTTTAGTTTTATTATAATAGATAGTATAATTATATACTAACTAAGATTTTTTTTTTTAAAACTAGATTTTTTTTTTGATTTTATTTCAGTAAATGACATAATAGAACATAATTTTGAATGTAAAATTTATGTTTTATTATGAATGACTTGCACCCCTTATTTGATTTTTTAGTTTTATTTTAATAGATAGTATAATTGTATATTAATTACTATTTTTTTTAAAAACTTAAAATTTTATTTTTAATTTTATTTCAATAAATGATACAATAGAACATAAATTTTTTTTGTAAAATTTAAAATATTTGATATTCTATCGTTGATTAAAGTATTTTTTGTCTAAATATAATATTTTAAATTTAAGAGGTCTAAGTATTATATACCTACAAACTTCAAGAGGGTCTAAGTGTAATTTATTAACGGATATATTTATAGCAAGAGTCTAAGTGTTATGCACGTACAAATGTCAACGGGTCTGTGTGTAATATTTCAAATATCAGTGGATTTGAGTGATTAAGTGACAAATTTTAAGGGGTCTGAATGTAATTCTCCCTTAATTTAATGTTTTTGAAATAAAAAAAAAACTTTTCAAAGTTGTGGGGAGGTGAGCGTAGCTATATAGAACTTTTGGTTAGTGATGCTCCACATAAAATGTACAGTATCTTGTCATAACAAGTGAACTTAAATTTTATTAATAACCAAAGTTTATTGGGTTTAATGTGTAATATAAATATATTTTTTAAAGAAATCTAGAATTAGGCTTTTGGGGCAAGACTGTGATTAATGAATATGAAGGATTTGAATTGGAATAGTATCATATTTTGTATGGGTAAGTTGGTAGTCTTCCATAAGTTCTGTATTTTATAACATAATAGAGAAATAAAAGTCAAGCATGATTGCCTTCTCTTGTGCCATTGGCTAATGGTGATTGCCTTCTTCGCACGACAAAATTGACCTGCAACCAACCCTATGGTCATTGTCAAACTATAATCCTATATATATATATATATTTTAAGATCAACTTGATCCCATGAATGAGATGGGGTAAGCTATTGGTACCGCATTTAAATTTCTGAGAAACATCTCAAGCTTCCTCCCCATTCTGAAACAAATGTGGATGTTGGGGTTCAAGTTCCATATCCTATAATGAGGAGGACTGCAACAATTCATCATTCTTGGATCTTGGTGTAGTAGTAACAAAGCGTATGTATCACTGATATTTGATTACTTTACAGATGAATTTAGACCAGCTTCTTGATACTTGCATGTTGAGATCCTGGCGTTGGAACTGAAGTGGTGGCAAAAGATGAACTCTCTGCCGGCCATTGAGGTCAAGTACCCAAGAATATTTATACAAAGAATCCTTAATATCATTACCTAAAACATAATAAAATAAAAAAGCAGCAGTGCCACTTGTTCACCTAATACAATTATTTTGGAAATCGACCAAGAAACTGAGTTTGTATTAATGTTTAATATTATAAAAGATTTGGTATCAGCGGGTACAAATTAGGCTCCTGTGGACCAACTGCTATTCTCAGCAAAAGCTTACGTATAGAGGTGTCTCAAGACAATTTAAGGCTAAAGTGGTACTTCTAAATGAGACATTTTAATATTTTTTTATTTAAAATTAATTTTTTCTTCTTTTTTGAGTTACAAAAATACTAATTAAGTTTTTATATTCAAGTTTTACTACCATATCTTTTTTAATTGATAGTATTACTAATCTAGTTAATTTTTCTTATGACAAAATCGATCTTAAGTAAAATTTTATCAATTTTAATTTTAAAAGCTTCTTTTTATAGAAGCAATTATTACAAGAATTGTTAATAATATTCTATAAGCAATGATACATGTGGAAAAAAAATTAACCTTTTTATATAATTTAGTATCTCAATTGGAGTGTTTTCTTTTATTTGTAAAATTTCTTTTAAAACATTTAGTTCTAAAAATAAATTTAGGCCATCAGTGTCGGAAAATTTTTTATGTTTTAAGAAATATTCGAGATCCAAACAATATTGTTTTAAACTACCAAAAGTTAATGGTTTTAATTTTTTGAACTTAAATAAAAAACCAAAAATATTTTTGTACTTTTGTAATTGTTTAAATTTACTATTTAGTGAAGAAATAGATTGATCAACAATATATGTAAAATAATCAATTCTAAAATATTTTTCAATAGATTGTGTTATTTCATCGTCAGCATTTTTATCAAATTATTTCTTTCTATAAACTCTACGTTTTTTATGAAATATAGATTCTATACTCATTTCACATGTAATCTCTTTAAATGAAATTATAGTATTTGTAAATTCACTTTTACTATATTTTTCAAAAAAAGAAATGAGACATTTTAATTGATTTATAACAATATCAATATGCATGTCTTTTGATTGTAAATATTTACTTGTACAATGATTTATATTGAACAACTTGCAACCAAAAAAAAAAAAATACTTTATACAAATCTTTTGAATATTCTAGCTATCTTCTATGAAGTGTTTCCTTATTTGTTAATTTACGAATATAATGTGTAGTGGAAAAATTCTAGAGAGTTTATTCCGAGAAAAATCTAAATTATTATATTTAATTGGATAATTTTTTACTAATAAATATCTTAATTTTGTATCAATATTTTTCCATTAACTTGGGATCAAAAATATTTATATAACTATAATCATTTGTTTAATTAAGATTTTGATTGCTTTCTATTTCATTATCTTTTATTTCACTATTTTATTTTTCAATATTTTCTCTTTCATTATCTTCTATTTCAATATTTTTTATTTCATTATCTTCTATTTTTTTTATTTCTTATTTCACTTTTTTCTTTTCATATATTTTCAGTTTCATTGCCTTCTATTTTATTCTATTCTATTTCATTATCTATTTGTTCATTTCAAAATTTTCATCTAAATTTTTTGTTACATTAATTTTGTTACTAGTAACAAATTTATCAAGAGATCATTTTTGAGATTTTATTAGTTGATCCATTTTTTTTCTTTTTTTAATTTTTTATATCAACTTGGTTGTCTTCTAGGTGTCTTATTACTAATACATTATAGTCATATAACAATCAAACAAACACAAACAAACAATCGATAGTATAGTTACAATATATTACATAACCTTGAATTTAAGATACAAAAAAATTTAAAATTGATGGGTCAAGCCCAAGAAGAACCCAATTTATTTGAAAAATCCAAACCTCAATTGAAGAGTCTAATCTTATAAAGACCCACTAATCCCAATATTATCCAAGTCCAGCCTCATCAGTTTGGCTATGTCATCAAGAGAGAGAGAGAGAGAAAACGAGAGTCTTATCTGCATCGCAGAGAAAACGGTCCACTCTCACATCATCTTTGACCGTATCTCATGGAGAGCTTCCCAACCTCCTTGCCCGTTGAGAAGAAATTGTGAGTTTCACTAGAATAATCTTTTAGTTGCTGTAAAGTAGCCTCCAATCTGTTAGGAGACCACTATAAATTGCATGCCCCACCAACACTTAGAGGGCACTACACCTTTACCTGGGCATCACACTTTCCCTGAGCACGACTCTCCCCTCTCCCTCAAAACTTGTATTCTCTGTTCTCCACACCCTTAAATTAATAGAATATCCAACAGCTAGAGCCATTGAAGAGTGGACATAGGTCGAGCTGATCGAACCACTATAAATCTTGTTTCCTCTTATTCTCTCTTTATTTTTAGCATATTTATTATTTACATTTGATAGGTGATGTGCAAAACTATTGTATGCATCATCAAAAATTATGAAACAATTGAACCCGACTTCTTTGTTTTGCCGCTGTATCAGTGTATCCACTGGACCACTTCCACATGCACAGAGAGAAAAAAAAGGCCAAAAGTTGAAGATGTTACATTAGAGACTTGCAAGTTGGCGAGAGAGAGAGAGAGAGAGAGAGAGAGAGAGGGACAGAAGTTGAGAATGAATGGTTAAAGTAATGACTTCATTTCATTTTTTTTATAGTTTTGATGTGACTTTTAAATTCAATTTTTTTTACCGTTATTGTTTTTTTTTAATATTTTAGATATTTAATATTTGGATTGGACTATAAGTCTAAATGATTGAACATAATTTTTGTTGGATTGGGCTTATATTTTTATAAGGCCTTTTTATAGTGCTTATAATATTTATAAATTTAATTTTTTTACATGGTTTATTGATGGTATTTATAAGTTTAGGGCCAGTTTATTTTGGAGATAAAAGTGGTATAAGAAGTTGAAATTAGAAAAATAGTACGTTGGATCCACCTTATATCTTGGTTGTTTAGCATTTTACGGTCAGTATTATTTTTCAAGTCGTAATACCGTTCCGATATAAATAGTAATCATAATGCCTTGTAGATGATATTAATAAATACCACCTACCAAGTGATATTATTTTCATAGGTTAAATGAAAGGACGGTATAAATATACAAATTGACACAAATGCCCTCATTTGTTAAGAGTTTACACATAAAATATTTATTTTGAATTTTTTTTTCTTGTATTATGTTTAAGCGTACGGTGTCATCGATTTTTTTTTAAATTTTTTTTAAAAAAAATTATTTTGAATTTTTTTTCCTTATATTATGTTTAAGAGTATGGTGTTACTAGTTTTTTTTTAAATTTTTTTTTAAAAAAATGATTTTGAATTTTTTTCTTATATTATGTTTAAGTATACGGTATTACCGGTTTTTTTTTTTAATTATTTTTTTTTTTCCTTTTATAGATAGTTAAGGATAAAATAAAATGAATGATGTTAAAGATAAAACGATATATTTGTTATATAATATATGATAGAATAAATGGTTATTTGTGGGACTCACTATATTACCTATTGAACAAATAAACATGGGAAGGGATTGAAATAATTTTTATTATCGGTACTAATATCCCTTGGTATTAGAAATGTAAGGAATACATTTCTAATACCACCTATAAATAATACACGAAACAAACATGTCCTTAGGGATTTCTTTAAAAATGGGCCTAAAGCCCAAGCTTTTATAAGAATGTTGTTGGGCCGGCCCTTCTAGGTACAACACTGAATAAACGGCCAATTGTTTACCTTGACATGCAAGGTGGTCTCAATTATGATATTCTGTTGGATAAATGCATCAATTTCCATTAAACTTTGAGACAATTTTTTTTTTATTATTGTTTTCACATTCATAAATGATGAACTCAAATCTAATCAGGTTAGACCCAGTAAATCAAACAAGTCCAGATCCATTAGGAAGGCAGTCTAAGTCCGATTCATCAATTCGACCTACTCCAAAATTCAAGGAGTCTACGAAGAAAAGAACATGTGGAGGAGAGGTCATCAGAATACATACTCTCGAAAATCAAGACTACCTTAATTGTACTTACCTTTCGTAACTATCCTCCTGAGAAACTAGTGTCTTTACTCTCACGTCACCGCCTCATCATGCTTATAAATTGTAATCTCTCTCAATTGAGAGAGACATCTCACTACATATTGAGTTATACCTCTACACTTCTCTAGTCATAGCTTTTCTCTCTCTCATTGCTATTGTCCCTCTCCGGGAGCTAATCATTGCTCTCTCTCTTGTTTATATTACTTAATCAATAAAGACCCCTTGGCCACCGTTGCCGTTTTTCAGAGCGGAGGAAGTTACTCCGACTGAATCACTATATATCTGTGTATTAACTCAATATTTACATTACTACTATTGATTGTTTTATTTATTGTCCATTAATTACACCTTATCACACACTCGACTGTTGATCTTGCACAAGATTATTTTGTGCATCATCAATATATATTTGAAGGCATAATTCACCTTCTGCAAAGTTTGTTAAATTTTAGATTTAGTGAATTAGAATAAAAAATAAAATAAAAGAAAAGAAAAAAAGGGACTGTTTTAACTTATCAATGCTTTACTAGTGGTCATTAGTGATCATACTAGGTTAGGAGGAGTAAATATTGGTCAAGCATAGACCAAATCGACTTGCAATTATTTTACCATGGAAAACCAAACATTATTGGAATCGAGCATGCCTTTGAAGATCAGAACAACAATGCATTAGTACAAAGAACCTGGTTAGAGAGGAACAACCAAGAAAACAGACGAGAAATGGAGGTAGAACAAGAAATAGCTTAGGCTAAAACCAGCCGCGCTCTTTGGGTCAGGTCATGCTTCGCCCGGTGCCACCAAGAGCAGCTTTGAGCTTCTTCACTTGAGCCAAATCCAGGAATGTTGTCTTCACCACCAATTTAGAAGGCAAGTTGTTTCCAAACAACGCAAAATCGGTGATTTGGAGGCGAGGACTTGGGCTACTGAAGGTTGCAAAAGCAGTGGCCGGTATAGCACCTGCATTTACCTGAAAATGCAACAACCCTTGAGGGAACACCATTATATCACCCTTGTGCAGTGTCTTCATGTAAACACGATTAGCTGAAGAAATGAAACCAGCAAGGATAGAACCCTGCATGACAAGTAGAAGTTCAGATGCACCAGGGTGGGTGTGCGTTGGTACGACACCATCTAGGGCTAGGTCCAACCGTGCCATGGAGAGTCCAAGGCCGTTCACGCCAGGAAATTGAGGTACAAATGCAGGAATCACAGCAACTTTGAAGATGTTTGTAGTGTTTCCAGACATACCTAGTCCTGAAAACACGAAGTCATCGACTGTAACTTCAGCAGGCTTCTTGCAAGAGTAACCTGCAGGGCTTTCTGGGCCCTTTAGGTTTGCAACGCAAAAGTCTTGAACAGCAGCATGAGAGGAGAAGAACAGAAAAGAAACATAGAAGAAAATGTGAATCATTTTTAATATCCTGGATTTGGGTTGATGAATGTGGTTTCTTTCGACCGCAATGTCTTGTATAGAATAAAGAGCTCGACTGGTACAATAATGGCCCATGGTGCCACTTGAATTTGGGAGACAAGCAATAACAGACAAGAGTTATAATGACTCACCGGTTCGGAAATTCGATCAATTCATTCCCAAGGAAGTCTTTTGTTTTTGAGAATTTATTGATAAAAGGAAAATTTACACTGAGTAATGCTTAAGCTAATTGTCTGTCTGTCATTGTGAGAAACATGCTTCTTATTTATGGCTGTCCAAGGTTTTGCCTGATTCTTGGCATGGTCATTGCCTTCTTCTTGTAACGATTGCACCTTTCATGTGATTGTTATAGACATCGTTGAGGTGATCACGACTTCCTTGCTAAAATATAAGATTATTAGCAATATTTCGTGATTGAAGTCACTGTATATTAAGTTATAACACTATGTGTATATAACTTGAATATATATATAATGAGTATGTGTGTATATATATAATAAGTGTGTAAAAATTTGAGGGAGAAAGTGTGTGAAATTTTTGGAAGAAAGATATACCTTCGTAAGTTCATAAGCCTAGTTATCTCATTTTATGAACATATCATAATGAGACGATATTACATTCTTGTCATGATAAAAATTCATAATTTTACTTACTAATGCTAAAAAATTATTAAAAAATTATAATTTTTAAGTCGTTAAATAATAATAAAATATAAAATATATTTTATTATAAACGTATTCTGACCGTATTCGTATTCTATTTTATTAAGTTTTGTCGTATCGTCATATCTATATTGTATTGTACCCGTGTCACGTATTTATATCCGTACTTCTTAGGATACAATTACCTCCATTTCGTCATCTCAAACGTAATCCAAAATAGTGGATTCAGATTCTAAAATGACACCTTTATATATATCTCTATATAATAAAGTAATTTATAATTTAAATTTTAAAAAATAAATAAAATAACTTTTATTTTTTGCGGTTCAAATCTCTTTAAATTTTACTTTAAAGTTAATTTAACAAATTTTATTAACACCTTAAATTTAATAAGAATGATAGACTTTTAAGAGTGTATTTGAAATTATTTTTTAAAAATATTTCTAAAAAAATTATTTCTCATAAGTAGTAAGTATTGTAAAAAAAAAAAATTTGAAATTGGCCCACCGTTACAACTACCGCATCATCCCCACCACCACTACCTCCACCTCTACCTCAACCACTAGCACCACCACCATAACAGTCGTTACCACCCGCCACAACAATCACCGTCTTTGCTTTAACTCTATCTCTCAGGCGACGACTCCTAGTCATCACGCTCTCAGGTTCTCTTGATTCTCGATTTCGGTAATTAGGTTTTTATTGAGATCTTACTTCGATTGCGCATTGAGTTTTTGAGAAAAAACTGTCAGAGCTTTGGTTTCTTCGACGATTCTGCGATTAAAGAAGGCTGTGTGAGTTTTTCATTTGAGGAATCGTGGAATTATTCTGATTTTCAACGTTGAAGTTGGGATTAATCTGTGGATTTGGAAGAAATTTAGAAATTGATAGAGAGAGTTTAGGACGAATGATGTGGACCTTAATACCAGTTGGTTGGTGCTGTAGTATGGGCCTGGTTGTCACACGCAAAGAAGATGTCGCTTTACATTAGTCGTGAGGCTTCCAAGGTTCGCCGTCTGCAGTCTCTCATGGATGATTTTTCTTTATTTCAAGTTTTTACGTATGATTGATCCTTTTTTTGGTTTGCATACGAAGTTATGGAAAAGAGTTTATTCGGAGACTGCGACAGAAATCAACCTTCTTGCCGAGAACTGGAAGTATATTGTTGCCGGTATCGTCTGCCAGGTCTTAATATGGATTGAACCAATATTTGCTTCCATATTTGTGGAGCTCTATCTGAATTATCTATGATGTGAACTCGTTGTTTATGTATGCTCAGGCTTAAGTTTGTGCTTTGCTTAGACACTATCTCTCTTTAGTCTTGAGTAAAATAAAGTTGCTCCAGAATGCACATCCTTGTTAAATTGGGTATTGGTAAAACTATACAGACATTAGGTGGTTGAATGGAGCATTAGACTTGGAAATGTCTTCAATTTACATTTTCGTCTTATGTGTGTGATGTTAATTTCTTGTGAATTAAACTACAGTGGGTGATGATATCATCCCTATTTTCTTTTTGAGAATTTAAATGGCAAGATAAAAGCTCGAGTTATTAATTGTGAAAAACTGATTTGCAATAATGACACCCTGTCCGTATATCACAATTGTCTTATTTTCTCTCTTCATCAATAGCATTCACTGATTGTTGTTGCTAGTGACTCTCTTTGGTTTCAAATAGAATGGTTTAGTCTAACAAATTCATCATGCTTTTGTTTTTTTACCCAATTTGGTTAATGTATGAATGGTTTTTGATTGCATTATATTGTGTCGATTGATCATCACCAGGTCAGGAATATTAAACCAAAAGTGACCGACCTATCCATGCTTCCCTGTTATTGTGTCCCTTCACTTCCTACAGGTACTCTCTCTCTCTCTCTCTCACACACACACACACACAGAATTGTACTTTTTCTTATATATATATGTACATGATGGCAGTGATGAAAAGGGGTTATACTATGGGGTGAATCTTCGTGGAACAAATTTCTTTATTTTGCGAGCACAACTTGGAGGCAAGGACGAACCGACATGAGAAATAAATCAACACAAACTTGATTTTACACAACCTCGACTATACACGATTGTAAGTAGTAGGCTTGGCTAGTCGGCCTCATATTTAAGGCACTTTTTAGTGCATTTTTAATGTTTCCATTAGGCTTTTGTTGTATCCTTATAGGTTGATTGGCTAACATAATCTAATTTCACCTCCAGGAATTATTCGATTACATTGCATTGAAGATAGCAAATTTCTTGTCAATGAACACTGTGACTACTTGTGATATGGAAGGAGTACAACAAAAGTTGGGATTTACCATATTATCTCTGGTGGACCAAGCTGCAACATCCTCAGGCATGTCCATTGATTGGAAGAGTTTTCCGGTGGATGAAACAGTTGGGTTCCTTATCCTTCTTTTAGTTTTAGTTTCACATAATTATTGAAGAGCAAAGGCATGCATCAGAAATCCCCATATTGGATTTGAATATTCCAGTGAATTCTACTTGTTTATATATATGTTCAGGTGCCATGTGTGTGTGTTTTTTTTTTTAAATTCAGTAGGGTAATTCTCTTGCAATGTTTTTTTTACATGCATTATTGTAGAAAATACATCTTAGTTATTGCCAAAGATTACAGCTATTTTTGCCTCTATTAGCACATTTCCCAACTTGCTACACTTTTTGTTTCTGACTAATTGTTGGCTTCTGATATTGTGGAACATGAAATTGCTAATGAGTGCGATGTACGAACATATCAGAGAGGTGTAAGTGTACATTATTCTTTGCAAGAGTAGTTTATAAAAGTACAAATTATTGTTGAATGTATTAGTTTACTCCTGGGCTTGTAGGCTCAGATGGGTGGAATGCTTAGATGAATACTGATTTGATCTTCATAACTAGCCTATAATGAATTTCACTCTTAACCAGTTGCTGTGATGTAATTGCATGAAATCAAGTTGGAAAAGAGTTGGTGAAAGATATGAATCAGGCTTTGGAGAACCATGGGGTAAACATGCGAGTTTCAACTGTTGCTTATGAATCAGTGTGGCTGCAGTGACTCTGGGGATGGGCACAAATGCTGCTTATGTAGAACCAGCAGAATCAGTATCCAAGTGGCATGGCACTTCACCCAAATCAGGAGAAACGGTGAGTAATTGTTTTAGTGTGAGTATTTTTTGTTTGGGTTAGTAAGCTTATATTGAGTAATCCGTCGATATACAACATAATGAGTTTCCTCATCACAATAATAGGGAGCTGTGAAGATATTTTTTGTTCTAGAAGGCTTGAGGCTTTTGCTCCGAAGTGGTTTGTCCTGCCATGCTCGAAGCTTTGCTCCTGGACTTGATTTTTGGACTGATGGGAGTTTTTGCATTATTTTAGTTTATGTTTGTGTTCCTTTCTGTTGTGGAAAGGTGTTCTGGCCTTTTCTTTGCTTCTTGTAATGTTTTGCTTTGTGAATAAATAAAATTTTTCTTTAAAAAAAAAAAGATGGAAATGTGCCAATCCATTTTACCTTATTTGGTCATATAAGTTATTGTTAGAAGCTTGACTATCCATTTTTTCATTTGGTGGAGAATCCCTGAATATTTAAAATTCACATTCTAGTGAAAATGCAATGAGCTAGGTTTTATTATGGAAAAAAATATATTAATTATCATTATCGGCGTTTATTTAAACACCGAAAATCAGAAATGATAATTACTGGCGTTTAAATAAACGCCGTAAAATAGTTCCGGTCACTGAAATTTTACAAGAAAATTGTCGATTAAATAAGTGCCGTAGTAAACGTCACTTTAATTTTTGTGGCATTTAATTATACGCTAGTAATTTTCCCAATGGAGATTTTGGCGTTTCCCAATGGAGATTTTGGCGTTGTTAATAACAAACGTCAATAATAATTTTTTACGGCGTTTAAATCATTGGGACTTCTATTTTACATGCTAATATTTGGCCAAAATTTTCAAATGTTAAGGCAAGTGGTACTTAGGATATCAGAAAATGAAATATATTAAAGATGAGGAGTTCTTGGATTATATAAATCTTAAAACATTGATAATATTCTTTTTTGTCTTTGTTGAAGTTCACTAAATCTTGAGTTTCTTGGTGAACAATACATAAATAAACTTTCTATCACTTTTAGGTATGAGAAAACAACATAGAAATTGATCTAAAAGGTTGTGACAAATGCAATTAATTTCTTGGTACTTATAGTTGATATATTTGGAATCTTTTACAGTAATATTCAACACTTTAACTTTTAAAATGTTTCACGTGCAGCGCACTTGTGCACTTAACCAGTATCCAGGGGAATGTTTTTTTTTTGTCCGCTTTCTTCTGTGTACGGAAATTCTCAAAGTTTTGATTGTAAGATAGAAAAATTCAGAGCTGTATAGCTAATAGCTAATAGCTAATAGTTATGCATGCTGCAGTTTTAGCCAATGGTTGGGTTGTGTACATCAATAGATTGTTCCTCATGGCATGGCATGGCATGGCATGCAAAGGAACTTCCAAGCCTCGTCCAGAAGAGTTAAAATTATGACAGCATATTGATATGTAAAACCGTAGCGTGACAAGTAGGACTTTGTCTCAAAGCAAACTAAATTGTTGCCGGAAGGTTGTTCAAAATTTGGTAAATGGAGTTATAGTGAATAGGAACGCTGCTAATCACCAGTTATTTAGAGAGTCTCCTTTTCTTTGTGTACATCTTGTTAAAAACGTAAATCTTTTAATGTTTTGAGGACACTTTTAGGGAAGTTTTACGTCATCCACTCCAAATACAATAAAAAAAAAATTTATTTTTTTTATTTATTTTTTTGCCCTTAAAAGTTAATGTAATGCAGATGATGGTGTGGTCTATGTGACTCAACGGCTGAGCTCGAGGCCCAAAAGGGGGAAATGAATTAGAAATATTCACTGGGACGTCCAGTCAAATCTACTAGGCTCGCAATTGTATATAGTCAATAACAGAGACAATAATCATTAATAAAAATTAATAGACAGGAGATTTATAGTGGTTCATTAGTTCGAGAGCTTGGTTAGTCCACTCTAATAAAGTCTTTTGCTCCTGAGGGGTTTGCTATTATTTGGGGAAGAAGATTACAAGTTTTTGCATAAGGTAAACTCTTAGGCATATATCTACCTTACAAAAAATTGGAATTGATCCCTGTTTATAGCCTGTAGGAGCTAGACGTTATTAATGTGATTCCCGCGTAATCCTTGTCGTGATCTATGCGTCATCATCGTAATCCCCTTGGGGTCATTGCGACCCATAAGGCAGGATCTTTGTTGATAGAAGCTATATTCCCGAGGTATGACATGTCCTTCCAGAAAATGTGAGCTATTGTTGTCGCAGTGTGCCAGGGGGTAACGTCGACAATGGTTACTGACCTGGAAGACCTGAGTTGGGTTCTAAACTTGAATATCCAAACTAGGGTTGAGATGTTCGAGTTGGAATACTCGAATCTGGCATCGTCATGTAGGGCCCCCATTGGGGGCAAGTTCCCGACCTGTTTCTGGGTTGAGCTTAGCCTTGGCTAATTTATGGTATCATCAGTTGTTCCCAAGTCCTAAGCCAGGTCTGTCTTGCCTGGATTAGGAATGAGTTGTGCCTCTAGCTGTGGACAAGCTCAACTCATGTTCATCTGAAGTAGATGTGATGGGACGTTCCCCAGAGACTCTGATGTCTCGTACGTGCGAGGAGTCGTTTGTGCCTAGATTTTTGCGTACGTTTCGCGTTATTGCGCTACGTGTCTGGTGTCTTAATTGCATCTGCAAACAAAACTGTCAAAATTCCCTCCTATTTATTTATTTTTTGCCTTTTCAAATCTCCTCATACTTTTTCCAAAAAATCCCTTTTTCTTTTTTCTTTTTTCTTTCCTTATGCTTTGTGCCTTCGTCTTCTCCCTTTTTCACCTGCATTCAAGCTTTGCTCAATCGAACACCCAGATCCTCTTGTGAGCTACCTTGTGGACTCCTGAAGATTTTCCTATCCTTTCTAGGTGCTCTCCAGGGTTCCCAACTAACAATTGCCTCTGATTAGGTACGTACTCTGCCTGGCCTCTTCTCTAATTTCTCTCCCCTAATATTTCTTGCTTAACCCTGGATTCTTCGAATCCGTGGTGGTTGTTTCATTTTTTGGTCATTCCGCTTCTCGTACTTTAGGAGTTCAGGTCGTTCCTTGTCCTTTTTTTCCCTTTTCCTAGATCCCTACGCGACTGCTAGAGTTTTTCTCTTCGGTCGCTGGTGTTAAGATCCTCGAGCAATTGAGGATTGTTCTCTACACGTGCCTTCCCTCTACACTTGTTTTGGTTATTTCATTCCTCAAGCCCCCATGTCTTTCTCTTCCCAAGCCATTGGGTTCTCTGTTTCCCTTACCATGGCTGACAGATCTCCTGAATTTGAACTCCGACCTTGTCGTCGCAGACATGTTGGCGTGGATGATGTGTCAAGCTGTCCCGAGGTGAGCCAAAGGGTTAGCTTGTCTGATCTGATGGGCTCAATAACCTTGTGAATGTAGGAGATGAAATTGATAATTTCCCCAGGGTCAATGCTCTGGTTGTTGGCAACTCCCTTTGTTCCTCCCTAGTTTAATTGTGAAGCGCAAGAGGTCTCGAAAGGACAGGCTTAAAAAGGTGCTACTAGGACCTTGGGCTTCTCTGGTGATCATGAGGACGCTTTGAACACCTCAGACTCTTTGGGTCACAACAAGGTTACTTCTCCTCAGCTGGGTATGCTTTCTGCCAAGTTTGGCTTTCCAAAGGGTATTTGCCTTTGATGTCCCAACATTGACAATCATTATAACAATGTTATTCCTAAGAAGACTTTTTTCTTTATCGCAACTTTTAAGAATGAGCTCAGGTTTCCCATGCACTCTTTCCTCTAGTTTGTGCTCCAGCACTTTAACGTCTGCCCTGCTCAAATTTTTCCCAACTTTTGGAGTATGTTGGTCGGCCTCGTGGTTCTCTTCAAAGAGAATGACCTCGTGGGTTCCCCCTCTATTCCTTTACTCATGCAGTAATAAACCATACAAATATATATATATATATATATATATATATATATATATATATATATATATATATATATAAGGATAAAAATAATTAAAGAATACTAATATATCTCTAAAAGTCTTGCTCTAGAGAGACCTATTAAGACTATTCTACATGTGGTTTAAACATGATATTATTGTTGGATAGATAAAACTCTAAAAGATCAAAGCAAGGGGCAGCAAACAAAGAAAAAAAATGAGAGAGGGGGGAGAGAGAGAAAAAGAAGGAAAAAAAAAAAGAAAAAAGAAAAAGGGAGAGTTAGATCCATTGAAGGTATGTGGATGCATTACTTATTTGATGAGTTTTGTATATTATTATATCACATGGTGTTAGATTTCATAGCTATATATATATATATATATATTATACACAAATAATTTGTGAAGATATTAAGTTGAATTTGGGTGTATAGTTATTTGAGATTTGATTGAGTTTAATAAGTTAAAAAAGGAAAAGAAAGGCGGTTGAATTGTTAAAGTTGCAGGAGACTTCCTGTAGGTTGAAGAAGATAGAGAATCTCAAATTATGGAAATTTCCTCTTTAGTTTTAAAGAGCTTTATTTTGACCTTTTTTATTCTTCTAAACTTAAATTTAACTACCGTTTTACTTAGTAAGTTAGAAGAATAGAATTCTGGAAAATTTATGGAAGCCTCGAAAACAGAAAATTCATTTTTCAAGGAAATTATATTTTGACCCCAAAAATTTTAAAACTTATGATTTTACCCCAAAATTTTAGAAACTTTTTTCTAAACAGCCCAGACCACTTTTATACCCTATTACCTCATATTAGAAATGTTATTTATATGAAAATGATATATAAAGTATATATCACTGGGTAAGAAGTACAAAAAAATTAAATATAGAATTACGAAATGATGAAGTTAGGAATGTGGATTGATCGTTATATGTTATTCTTTATTAGGTGGTGATTGCATTGAGGTTGGAAAAAAGGGCTTTGAATTGAATTTTGGGAATCAATGTGAGTAGTTTACTACTTCTTTTGGGAGAATTTTCTATAATACACTTGTGGGTACGTGTGTGTGGATGTTTCCTATTATAATATGTGTTGATATTTGGGGTTGCAATTAAATATTTTGCAATTGTGAATTATTATACATGTGAATTTTGAAAACTTATGGGATGACTTTATATCATTGCTTAAATGTGTTTTGGTGATGAAAGTAAAATTTTGTATGCGTTGAGACTAAAATGACAGTTTTGGTATGTGTTTAAATCATGTTTTATGAGACGAGACTGGGTTATCAGGTCTAAATGGTAACGAGATTGTATACCAGTATGATTGGTATAAAGATGTGCACATAAAGGCCAGTCATCAAATTAGTAATGACAAGAGATGAGACTAGTTATCAGGCTAGTGATAACAAATATAATTTGACAAATGTATTTGGAATTGAATATGTGTGTGAGTGTTTTGTGTTATAAATGTCTTTTCATTTATAAAGTTATTTGTGAAAATGAATGGTGTTTTGGATTATAAATGTCTTTTATTTATAAAGTTATTTGGGATTATAAGATCATTTTGTTTAAATGATTATGTGAGACGGGTTGGGGTATAAATTGTTTTATTTAGGTATGTATCAAAGTTTATTTTTGTATATAAACTGTGAGATTTATTTTCACACCTCATTAGAGGTGGTTGTTATTCACAAGTCATTGTGCTCATACAAACATTTAACATTTTTTAAGTGAGGATCAGAGTGAGGAATAAGTCCATAGATATATAAGGGATTAGAGGACTTAATGATTTATTTTACTGTAGGTCTTCAAGAATAAATATCTTTTGTAGTTTTGAGACAAATATTTAATTATTTTGCGAACAATGTTACTCATGCTTGGAACAGTGAACCTTATGGTTTAATTATTATTTTACATGGGTTTAGTAATGATGTTGGTGATATTTAGTTTATTCCTCTGATATTCATTAGGTCAATGGATTGGATCATTTTATTATTTGTCTTTGCCTGTATTTTGCATTTATTATACACAAAGTTAATTGGTTAAGACCTTGGTGGCCGGTTTGTTTCCCACCCTATGTGATCCGGGGTGGGGGCGTGACACATACACGTTTTCAACGTTAAATTCTCTCCTGTCGACGACTTCCTCTACATCTCCAAATGAGTGAAGGCCCAACATCTGATTACCAGCCTACCGACTTCCCACAAGGATTAGAACGATAGTTTCTTCTTTGTGTCTGACAAGGAGTTGGAGTTTAACTCAAGGGATGCCTCAAATACCTTTCTAGTGCCTAAATCTCGTCAGACCTAGATAACTTAGGTGAGTCCGTGCTGAGGTGCCTTAGTTAAGCTTTTCTTATTTCATCATTTCTTTACTTATTGATGTTTTCCATTGCTGTATCAAGTATTCGCCCTAACCTAAATGCCAACGAGAGACTTCTCCTCAGAGATCTTAAGGAGTGTCCTTCTGAGGAGTATGCTGGGCTCCTCACACCCTCAATCTTAGCCAAGCACGG